CTCTCCCTCCCCTCCTGGAGGACCTGAGCCTGATGACTCCTTGCTGTCCCCAGTCCACCTGGTCGTGCTGCTGCTCCAGTTTCCACTCTTCTGCCTGCAGCTATGGAACCCTGACCTGTTCACCGGACGTGCTACCTTGTCCCAGAACTGCTGTTTTCAACTCTCTCGCTCTACCGCACCTGCTATTTCAACCTCTAAATGCCCGGCTATCAAAAGCTAAGTGACATTTACTCATGATGTACTGACCTGTTGCAACCTCTACAACCACTGTGATTATTATTTGACCCTGCTGGTCATCTATGAACGTTTGATAATCTTGGAGAAAAAACTGGACTTAATGGCCATGTACCCGGCACAGCCAGAAGGGGACTGGCCAACCCTCAGAGCCTGGTTCCTCTCTAGGTTCCTTCCTAGGTTTCTGCCTTTCTATGGAGTTTTTCCTAGCCACCGTGCTTCTACATCTGCATTGCTTACTGTTTGGGATTTTAGGCTGGGTTTCTGTATAGCACTTTGTGACATCTGATGATGTAAAAAGGGCTTTATAAATACATTTGATTGATTGATTGATTGATAGGCTATTTGCGCAAGGCATAAGAATCAGTGCTTGACTTGGGCAGTAGCTCACCGGAGCTGAGTACCGAAAGATTTTTCAAATACATTGAGGAACTATTGTAATTCTCAATGGATGTAAAAACAGACCGCGCTTGCTTGCAGTTTGAGGTGAAGAAAACATTACTTTGAGAAGCTCCACAGGTCATTAGTTGTGGTGTGTTAAGCCAATCAGAAATACTATCAGATCCCCAAATGGGCACATTTATATGCCTACATTTGTGCGCAGGCCAGGTAGCCTATAGGCCTACTTCAATGTGTGCTCGTCCTTACTCAAAATTGACAGGAGAGCTCCAAACAAAAGACAATTACTAAATTGACAGAACTAGTAAATTAATTAAATAAACCAAAACTTGTTTCTCACAAGTGTAGCATAGGTTGCACACTCTGCAAACAATGTGTCCACTGCGACAATGAGAACAGGAAGACTGGAATAATATTGAATGCATTAATAGAAATGACCGTAACCAAAGTAACAAACACTGTAGATTAGAAATTATAGGAATTAACGGTAAATGTACTACTGGTGATATATGTAATGGGGAATTTATATACACTAACAATCAAACACAAACAATTCACACAATGAAGTTATGAAACAATGAATGTGCGGATTCTGGAGAAAGAAGTGCATTGTGCATCTGGGGCGTTGGTCAATCTGACGTCTGCTTTGGCCATGCAGCATTTACGGTGATATGGCCTCAGCAGAAGTCAGGGCAAGAATAGCCTCAGCAGAAGTCAGGGCATTCATACTTCTTGCACTTCGCGGAGCAGTGCAGAGCTGTTGTCAAGGAAGTGAGTTTGTGTTTATACAGGATGTACCACCCCCACCTACCGTCAACCAATCATGTCAATGCGGAGCTATACATACAATGCGGAGCTATACATACATTTGTTACTGCTCGACTAAAACAATCTTGGTCAACCAACAGCCTAACGATAAAAAAATAGACTAATTTGGGTCTGCCCTACTATCAAGGGAAGGTGCCTCTTCCTTGTGTTCATAAAATGAAAAGACAAAAAGAAAATACTTTGCTATCACACCCTTGTGAATCGGAGTGGGACCAAAAGGTGTCCGCTACTCCAAAAATCCCACTCCACCCACGTGCACACACGCACATAGATCAACAGAGTGGAGCTTGCAGTGACCTTAACTCTGCTTCCGCCTCCAACTCCAAACCTGGCTGGACTGTATTCACTAGGCCCCAAAATATTCACATCTTGAAATGTAAAATGTACAGTACGTTCAAGTTCTCCTCCGTTTCAAAAGTTTTTCTCCCGTTTTGGACATGACTCTGGAGCTACATATTGACCAGTCTCCATCTAGTAACCTACATACATGGAGTAGTTTAATATTGAGTGTCTCGGTTACCCTACATATTACAGCCTTGGTGGCCTGTTCCTATCAGCATAGTCCCATTTGGCACAGCCTGATACAGTTACTCTGAAGCATTTTTCGCATACGCCAAGATCACATAAGACACACAAATGCCAAGCGGAATGTGGCGTAGCACTGGTTAGCAATTAACATTTCAAGATCATGACAAGGAGAGCCTTAGTCGCAGATGAATAACTGATTAGTCCCAGAAGAGAAGAGTAGAGAGAGAGCGAGAGAGACGCCTCGATCACACCAACAGCATCTTTGCGCAAAATGGAACGCAGCATCATCTGGATATGTGTGCAGCAAAAGTTCAACATTCACCTTCTGCTACCATTTCTGTCAAGCCGTCAACGCATACAGTTTGATGCATACGTTCGATAAATCCAACGTATGACCACACAGAACGCACTGCTGCAAGGCAAACTCAGCGTTCCATTGGAAATGAATGTACTTCTGGTGTACCAAAAAGAGAGAGAGACGGGAGAAAAGAGAGAGAGAGAGAGAGAGAGAAGCAGGAGAAGAAAGCGAGATGGGACACACACCCAGCCATGCGATAGATACTTTATCACTTGTTTTACCCAGCAGACAGGTTATAGGGGAGAATTTGGCCATCAGGGTCAGGAGGGGTAGCCTCGTCTGCCAGGCTTACAGCAATATAGGTTGTCGTAAATGATACTGTAATATTTGTTGTGTGTTACAAATGATACATAAGACATACATAAAAAAGGTGTTATGACTAGTTTCATAAAGGTGTTATGAATGCCTTATGTATACCCCATTCAACTAAAGCAGTGATCACTGACCTTTTCTGAGTCAAGATCCCTTTCTGAGTCAAAATGCAAGCCGAGATCTACCGCTCACATTTCTTTTTTTTTTTAAACATGACTTTAAAAAACATATTAAGCCTATGCAACATTAACCAATTAAAAACAGTTCTGTAGCAATGAGGTTTGTGCAGTAGGCCAGAGACCCAATACATTATCACTGCATTATTTCTGCCTCATGCACAAATTCATGTTGTTACTCCTATGACCAGAAAAAGTTAAATATTCCTCAATATTAAAAAATACACAAGCTGCTAATAATAACAACGCAAGCTTATTGGAACACTTTGCTATACTCATTAATTGCAGCTGCAGTGCTGCTTGTAGCATAAATGGAAGTAGGGAGAACACACATTTTATGACTTATAAAAATGTTGAACAAAGTGTTGACAGTGCTGAATAACAACTTAAACATGACCTTACTCATAAAAACAGCAGCTCTTTGTTGTATTCGTTGTCTTTCTTTAGTCATGGTTTCTTTTTACAGTCTATGGCTTGAGGAAAATGTGCAGACACGGTGATCTGAGCTATCTGATTGACCAGCGGTAGGCCTATAAGTGCACTTGAGCCTACCGGGTATACGTAGTTCTACCTTCAGACACTTGAAATGGTTCAAAATGGGAACACATTTATAAAATAATGTATTTTAAAAAAACATATTTACATAAGTATTCAGACCCTTTGCTATGACACTCGAAATTAAGCTAAGGTGCATCCTTTTCTAATTACCTGTGGTAAATTAAATTGATTGGACATGATTTGGAAAGGCACACACCTGTCTATATAAGGCCCCACAGTTGACAGTGCATGTCAGAGCAAAAACCAAGACATGAGGTCAAAGGAATTGTCCGCAGAGCTCCGAGACAGGATTGTGTCGAGGCACAGATCTGGGGAAGGGTGCCAAAACATTTCTGCAGTATTGAAGGTCCCCAAGAACACAGTGGCATCCATCATTCTTAAATGGAAGAAGTTTGGAACCACCAAGACTCTTCCTAGAGCTGGCCGCACGGCCAAACTGAGCAATCGGGGGAGAAAGGCCTTGGTCAGGGAGGTGACCAACAACCCGATGGTCACTCTGACAGAGCTCCAGAGTTCCTCTGTGGAGATGGGAGAACCTTCCAGAAGGACAACCATCTCTGCAGCACTCCACCAATCAGGCCTTTATGGTAGAGTGGCCAGACGGAAGCCACTCCTCAGTAAAAGGCACGACAGCCCGCTTGGACGTCTCTGACAAAGAGAGAGCAGCTTTGTGTCTGAGTACATCCCCGAGGGAGATTTGCTTCCCTTACCTTGGAAGATCTGGAGAGAATTTCAACAGATCCAACCATATGTGTTCGAGCTGTTGGCTTCTAGCAACAAAGATGTTCGGAAAACGAAGTTCAACGACCCCTGCCCCGCGGCGTGTCTGAATAGTATGCAACATAAAATGTAGCCTAGCTAACGTCGTAATAGCTAGCTAATGTTAGCCTGTATATAAACATTAGCCGTAAACATTATAAACCGGAGCCTTACCGATTTGTTTATTCACTGGTTCTCAGTTTATAGATAATGGCAACATAGCCATCAGTCTAAGCGTAAATCTGGCGATCATGACAGTGGTTTGATATGAGCTTCTTAGCTAACTAGCTATTTGCTTACTTTATCCATGCCAGTGTATTTCCAAGCCACTGTTTAGAATGAATGTTCATTAGCTGCAGTGATCTACTTCTTGCTTACAACATATTTTTTTAACCCATAAGTGTTGTGTTGGCCACTGCAAAAACATCTGCTGTAGAAATGTGCCTCAGGTAGGTTTCTGTAGCTTGACTAGAACTGATTAGTTCCAGTGACCATGTGTTGTGTTGCCTATGGGTTACCAAGCTATACATGTCCCATAGTCATCCTTATTTAGGCCTAATACACTAACGCAAACATTTATTGTTATACAGGTCATTGAGAAAATAGAGGACTCCAAGTTACTAGACCCTGTCCAATGCATGACCCTGCACCCTGTATTTGCTGAAGTGTGTTTGGCCCGATGGGCACTGCAGCATGCCTCCTACATGGACAGATAGAGGAATGGGGAAGAGGAGTAGCAGACCAAAATAAATGAGTAGAGATGAGTCAGGCACCATGTTTCAGAAATGTAATGCCACATGACAGCAGCAATCACAACAATACAAAACAGTAATTGCTTCATGTTTACTCTATTTACAGACATACTGCATCTCACAGTTTTGTTGGCTGGTGTTGGCAGTATTTGGGAAGAGGGATTTGTGTCGTCCTGCATTGTCCTCAGGATCCGTGCAGAGTTCCCTGATGTGACAGGAAACTACACTGGCTTCATTGCCCCTCACCACCACTGAACCTGGACCTGTGTCTTGCCACCGCAACACTTTTCTCTGGCGTAGCTGGAGCAGAGACTGTCTGGCACCTGTGCCAACAGAGCCTGGATGTGCCTGGACACAGACAGAGTAGGCATTAACGTGTGATAAGGGACAAATCTCAAAATGGCTGGCATTAGGACTACTTTGTTATACAGATTAGCCTCTCACTTAAGTATAGAAAAACAGCCCATCATCAAAATGAAAGTAACAATGGCCTACCTAATGTCACGTGTTAGCAGACTTCTTCCCTCTCCATGCGGATGCTGTTGCCTACTTCACTGCTCTAGAGCAGGGGTACCCAAACTTTTTCACTCAGGTCCCCCTTCCAGCATTGGGGAACATTCCGTGCACCACGTCAATTTCTTTGGGCACAAGCACTGTTCATGAAACAAACTGTTCACACGCCTCGTTGGCGGAGATAACATTTTGCAGGTTTTAAAGCTCATTTTCGTGCAATTCTATACATTTTGCCATGTCTAATGTGTATTCATGTGATATTTGAGTGACTCAAACATTACAACAAAATCTATGGGCTAAAAAACCTAGCTAAAAAACCTTAGCTGACATGGACTAGTTGATCTGGACATTTCTGACAAGTTATAAATAGTTCTCTAAGGCAGGGTTTTCCAAACTCGGTCCTGTTTTGGCACCCTTCCCCAGATCAGTGCAGTAGCACTACACAGCTGATTCAAAGCTTGATGAGGAGTTGGTTATTTGAATCAGCTCTATAGTGCACCCTGGGGAGGCCCCTGGACCGAGTTTGGGAAACCCTGCTCTAAGGTACACAATGACTGACATTACAAGAGGATTCTACTAGTGCATTCTACTATTACAACTTTCAAGAGAAACTGAGTTCATAAAAAAAACGAATAATAATAATAAAACAATTGGGAGTGAACTCAGTTTGGGTGCCACTGCTCTAGAGGAGAAAAGGTTTTGAACCTACTGCAACGCATATCTACAGCTTTGGAACATAGATAATAAAATATAATTATAACTCACCTGAACAAGTTGGAGGTCCAGTACTTTGTTAGTTGTAAGGCACATTGATGTATAGCTTCCATATGTTGCACCGTGACCTATAGGGGTGAGACGGTACACTCAGTTTACTCTACAAGGGCAAATCATAAAGACCTTCTGATATATAGTAGTGTGGTACATGTGGTGCTTACCTGGTGGGTCAGCTCTCATGTCCCCATTAAGTGTCACTGAATCTTGCTCTGAAGCCAGCTGAATGAAGACCCTCGGGTCAGTCTTCCACTGCCAATAGATAGTGGGATTTAGCAGTTTGCTGAGATGGTCGTAGTATGTTGATGAGCAGATAGTCTTCACCTGCAGCGCTGAGATTTACTGGAAAAAGGCAGGTCATCAGAAACCAATGCAATGTAGATTAGCATCAAGTTGAATATTGGTAAGTGAGTAAAGATCCACCTTATTGATTTCGACAAAGGATCCACCACTGAATGCTGTGGCTGCTGACACATGCACATTTCCAGCTGGGAGGTTGGTGTTGGCAATGTAGGGTTGACTTCTCCATTGCTTTTTGTGTTCACAATGAGGGCAGCTCTGCTTCACAATAAGTAGGGTGCCTACGGTGGTTATATGAAGGCTACAGGTGCAGGAGCATACAGGGCAGGAACGAAGTAACTGCAGGAGACAGTCTTCATAGACAATGTACTTAGTAGCCAAGGGTTCGGGATGACCTGAAACAAGCAAATAGCTACATAAACATAATGTTCTATCTGTGATAAAGCCTAGCTAGCGGGTGCAGGTCTACTATACTTCATGTGATTAGGCATCATGATACCATAGGTAAATGGGGTTAGTTAGCATAATCTTTTGACGATGCAGCTTGTAGCTAGTACATGCCAAGACAAACACTTTGCAGGTCGTTGTGTGTCTAGCTAGCTAGCTAGCCCATTTGCGAGGCAATGTTATTTTGCATTGTCACTGAAGGATGGTCGGCAATTATATAGGAATGTTGCTAACACGTTCCCATTATCATGCTTTGTTTACAGAATTGGCTTTGTTTAGCAAGCCAAATACTCAAAACAGTTTTTAGATGACCAGGGCAAAACATTTACACCAAGGAAAACATATTACAACAGCAAGGGTGAGCTAGCATACCTTTCTTGTCCGTCCTCAGCGTCTGTGATGGTTTCATCCAGAATAAAAGTACTATCCGACCCTTCACTAACGTTAGAATTGAAGGATTCGTCTACGCGTGGCCTTTTTACTGTTGTTGTTGTGGGGCAGGTGAATGCGGCATCATCAGCATCATCAGTCTCGCAAGAAACAGACAGACTTTTGCACAGCTTGGCTTTCTGTTAATTTAATATAGACGTTATTAGTGTTGAATTACCAGGTACAGCAATAACAATGTCACTATAGCTGCATTGTCTGAAATTACTAAAGCTATAGCGTGACGTATAGGTAAAGTAATTGAAGTCAAAATTCACCTGCTGTCAGTTAGATATCCGATCTCTCCTGTGGCTTACAAATATATAAAACTGTTCCACATCAATATGACTACTGTAGACTAGGCCATGATAACAGGCTGTGATTAGGTATTTGTTTTTTTATTAGGATCCACATTAGCTGTTGCAAAAGCAGCAGCTACTCTTCCTGGGGTCCGACACAAAACATGAAACATGACATTATACTGAACATTAATAGACAAGAACACCTCGGGGACAGAACTACATCAATATTTATTTATTTTTTAACAAACGGCACATGTAGCATACATATCAATACATACACAAAAACTATCTAGGTCAAATAGGGGATAGGCATTGTGCCGTGAGGTGTTGCTTAATCTGATTTTTGAAACCAGGTTTGCTGTTCATTTGAACAATATGAGATGGAACGGAGTTCCAGGAAATTATAGCTCTAAATAATACTGTACGCTTTCTTGAATTTGTTCTGGATTTGGGGACTGTGAAAAGACCCCTGGTGGCATGTCTGGTCGGGTAAGTGTGTGTGTCAGAGCTGTGTGTAAATTGACTATGCAAACAATTTGGGATTTTCAACACATTAATGTTTCTTATAAAAAGAAGAAGTGATGCAGTCAGTCTCTCCTCAACTCTTAGCCAAGAGTGACTGGTATGCATAGTACTTATATCAGCCCTCTGATTACAATGAAGAGCAAGTCGTGCCGCTCTGTTCTGGGCCAGCTGCAGCTTAACTAGGTCTTTCCTTGCAGCACTCGACCACACGACTAGACAATAATCAAGATAAGACAAAACTAGAGCCTGCAGGACTTGGTTTTTGGAGTGTGGTATCAAAAAAGCAGAGCATCTCTTTATTGCGGACAGACCTCTCCCCATCTTTACAACCATTTTATCTATATGTTTTGACCATGACAGTTTACAATAAAAGGTAACGCCAAATTAGTTTCCTCAACTTGTTCAAAAGTCACACCATTCATTACCAGATTCAGCTGATGTCTAGAACTTAGGGAATGATTTTGACCAAATAAGTGAAACTGATATACTTTTTTATTTATCACAGTTTTCCTTAACCAATTATGTTCTTTAACGCAAGGCCGACAGACAAGTTCCTTACTTTCTCCCACTTCCACTTTCCTCTTCCACTTTTGCGGTAAGGCTGCAATTATTTGGTTGTAATTTTGGGTAGAGCAGACATTTCCATATGTTTTTGTTAGCTGCATGTGCGACATAACTCCACCAGTCCTACCGATGATATCATTTACGAAGATTATACCTTTTTTAAACATTCTGTCAAAAAATAAAGGTTTTTTGTCAATTAGTATATTTGAATTTAACCACAATATTTGTTGCATTATTTATTCTGTCGTTTCTGGAGGATGAAATTGAAATTGCAACCAACTTTCTATGGCTTGTTTTAGAAATAGTGATATTTGGGAGATGATTTCCTTTTCAAATAACTGCAAATGAGTTGTTGTAATCTGAATAAAGGGAAAAAGGCCTTTCTTGAACATTGGGTGAGACAATCTTACTAATTTGCTTGAGAACCAGTTCGGATTTAAGTATAACTTTTGTATGACTGAAGCTTTTAGTGATAGGTCTAATGCTTTAATATTTAATAATTTCTGTCCTCCGAATTCATATTCATTATATAAATATGCCCTTTTAATTTTGTCTGGCTTGCCGTTCCAAATAAAATTGAATATTTTTTTCTCATATAATTTAAAAAACTGTTCTCTAGGCGTAGGCAAGACCATAAGCAAATAGGTAAACTGGGATAATACTAAAGAGTTAATCAGGGTGATTAACTCTTTGGTAGTAAGATCTTATCTATTTTTGCTAACTTTCTTTTAACATTTATTGAAGTGAGATCATTTATTTCCTTTGGGATATGTATTCCGAGTATATCCACATCACCATCAGACCATTTTATTGGTAAACTACATGGTAATGTAAATTTTTATTTTTTAGTGATCCAATACGTAATACAGTACATTTGTCATAATTTGGTTGTAATCCAGAGAGGTTAGAAAATGTATCTAGATCCTCTATGAGGCTGTGGAGGGATTCTAGTTGTGGATTTAAAAGAAAACATGAATCATCAGCGTACAATGACACCTTTATTTTTAAGCCCTGGATTTCTAATCCTCTGATATTATTATTGGATCTGATTTTAATAGCTAACATCTCGATGGCCACAATAAATAGATATGCCGATAGTGGACAACCTTGTTTCACTCCTCTTGACAGTTTAAAACTTTCTGAGAAATAGCCATTATTTACTATTTTACACCTAGGGTTACTATACATGATTTTGACCCCTTTTATAAGAGATTCTCCAAAATTGAAATGCTCCAGGCATTTATATATAAACCCCAGTCGAACTTTATCAAATGCCTTTTCGAAGTCTGCTATGAATAGCAGGCCTGGTTTCCCATATTTTCCATAGCGTTCTATTGTTTCCAATACTTGCCTTATATTATCTCCAATGTATCTTCCATGTAAAAAACCTGTCTGATTAGAATGAATAATATCCGACAATACCTTTTTAATTCTATGCGCTATACATTTTGCTAGAATTTTTGCATCACAACACTGAAGTGTAAGGGGCCTCCAATTTTGTAAATGGACTGGATCTTTATATTTTTCACTTGTATCCTGTTTCAGTAATAATGAGATCAGACCTTCTTCTTGAGTGTCAGATAATCTACCATTTACATAGGAGTGGTTAAACATGCTAATAACGGTGCTCTTAGTATATCAAAAAAGGTTTGGTATACCTCGACTGGTATGCCATCCAACCCTGGAGTTTTCGCAGACTTAAAGTTTTAAATTGTATCCAGAAGTTCCTCCTCTGTAATTTCACCTTCACATGAGTTTTTCTGTGTGGCTGTTAATTTGACATTATCAATAAAAAAAAAATCTCTACAATTAGCTTCAGTTAGAGGAGATGGAGGCGACTGAAAAGAAAACATATGGTTAAAGTACTTTGTTTCTTCCTTCAAAATATCATTTGGTGAATTATGGGTGACTCCGTCAATTGTAACCAGTTTCATTAAGTTCTTTTTGGTAGCATTCCTATGTTGAAGATTAAAAATTTTTTTTTTTGCATTTTTCCCCATATTCCATCCAGTTTGCTTTATTGTTAAAATTATATTACACTTGATCTTTCTTGAATAAGTTTCTCCATTTCTTTTAGTTTTTCCTCTAATTTATTCTGAGCCTCTATGTTACAGTTTTTATTGCCATCTATCTGTTCTGTTAGACTTTCTATTTCCTTTGTTAGTATAAACTCTTTTGACCTAAATTGCTTTTGTTTTCGAGATGAGTACTGAATTGCATGGCCTCTAAAGGCACATTTAAAGGTGTCCCATACAATAAGGGGATTCGCTGTACCTATGTTATGTTGGAAAAAGTCAGTTATAAATTCCTTTGTTCTAATTATAAATAAATTATCATCCAATAGGCTTTGATTAAATTTCCAATATCCTCGCCCACGTGGAAATTCAGTAAGAGTAATGTATATGCCTATTATATGATGGTCCGACCGCATTCTGTCCCCTATCAACACTTTTTTTTTTTTTTACTTTTGGTGCCAACGAGAATGACATAAGAAAGAAGACAAGACGACTAGCTTGATTGAGTCTCAGCCATGTATATCTTACTAGATCAGGATATTTAAGCCTCCATATATCTACTAGTTCTAATGTATCCATGACGTTCACGATTTCCTTAAGAGCATGTGGGTGATTGTTTGTGGTGTGATTTCCTTTACGGTCCATTGAGCTATTTAAAACAGTATTATAATCACCCACCATAATAATATTGTCTTGAATTGCTTGCAGGGTTGATAATTTATTATATATATTGTGAAAGAATTGAGGATCATCAATATTTGGTCCGTAAAGGTTAATGAGCCATATCGGTTGATGGTCCAATAACATATTTAAAATAATCCATCTACCTTGCGTATCTATTTGGACAATTTGCACATTCGGATCGAAATTACTATTAATTAATATCATCACCCCTTTTGAATTTCTTTGCCCATGGGAGAAATATTGTTCTTATTTTGTTATTATCAGCTAAGCCATTACAATTATAACTGGCTATACTTATTTCACCATACACCATAATGAGATACAAGTTTCAAGTCTATTTATCATTATATATGTTTGTAAATTTACCAATAAAAAATACCGTAATGATTGAGTGTCCATATAGCTGTACCGTGATATTTGCATTGCTACGGAGTAACCCTTCAATTGTACTCCACTAATTCCCCCGCTAAAGCCCCTCCCCATCCCAAGTTGAGCCGTCATCCCAGTGATCAGCATCCCACCCACATCATTTCTCAATTTGCAGTAATTCAGCCAGTCAGATGTGCAGCCAGACATACCAGCCACTCCTTTTGCCCCATCTCTTTCAACCATACATTTTTTCAATTCCTCATCAATCCATGGAGCCTTAACAGTTCTAACAGTCAGTTTCTTAACAGGTGCGTGTTTATCAATAATTGGAAGAAGCAATTTCATAAATTCATCAAGTGCAGCGTCTAGATGCTCCTTATTAATCACATCAGACCAACAAATATTTTTAACATCATCCACATAAGAGTCACAGAAAAATATTTTGTATGATCTCTTATACACTATTTTAGGCCCAGCTTTTGGAATTTTAGCTTTCCTGGATATAGCCACCATGATCACTGCATCCAATGGGTACGGATATAGCGTTAGAACAAAGTTCTACAGTGTTAGTAAAAATGTGATCAATACATGTGGATGATCTTGTTCCTGTAGTGTTTGTAAACACCCTGGTAGGTTGATTAATAACCTGAACCAGATTACAGGCACTGGTTACAGTGAGAAGCTTCCTCTTGAGCGGACAGCTTGATGAAAACCAGTCAATATTCAGGTCGGCAAGAAAGTAGACCTCTCTGTTTACATCCCATACACTATCAAACATTTCACACATATTATTTAGATACTGACTGTTAGCACTTGGTGGCCTATAGCAACACCCTAAAAGAAAAGAAAAGGCTTTATATGTGCCAAGTGAACCTGCAACCACAACACTTCAATAACACTTGACATAAGATCTTCTCTAAGCATTACAGGGATATGGCTCTGAATATATACAGCAACACCTTCCCCATAAGCATTTCTGTGTCTTCTATAGATGTTACAGTGGGGAAAAAAAGTATTTAGTCAGCCACCAATTGTGCAAGTTCTCACACTTAAAAAGATGAGAGAGGCCTGTAATTTTCATCATAGGTACACGTCAACTATGACAGACAAATTGAGGAAAGAAAATCCAGAAAATCACATTGTAGGATTTTTAATGAATTTATTTGCAAATTATGGTGGAAAATAAGTATTTGATCACCTACAAACAAGCAAGATTTCTGACTGATGTGGCGTACTCCTCAATGCCATTGGAAGAATCCCGGAACATATTCCAGTCTGTGCTAGCAAAACATTACTGTAGCTTAGCATCTGCGTCATCTGACCACTTATTTATTGACCGAGTCACTGGTGCTTTCCAGCTTTAGTTTTTGCTTGTAAGCAGGAATCAGGAGGATAAAGTTATGGTCAGATTTGCGAAATGGAGGGCGAGGGAGAGCTTTGTACGCATCTGTGTGTGGAGTAAAGGTGGTCTAGAGTTATTTTCCTCAGTTTGCACATTTAACATGCTGTAAGAAATTAGGTAAAACGGATTTAAGTTTCCCTGCATTAAAGTCCCCGGCAAATTAGGAGTGCCGCCTCTGGATGAGCGTTTTCCTGTTTGCTTATGGCCTTATACAGCTCATTGAGTGCGGTCTTAGTGCCAGCATCGGTTTGTGGTGGTAAATAGACAGCTACGAAAAATATAGATGAAAACTCTCTTGGTAAATAGTGTGGTCTATAGCTTATCATTAGATACTCTACCTCAGGCGAGCAAAACCTTGATATTTCCTTAATATTAGATTACGTGCACCAGCTGTTGTTTACAAATATACACAGACCGCCACCCCTATTCTTACCGGAGGCAGCTGTTCTATCTTGCCGATGCAGCGAATATCCCGCCAGCTGTATGTTATCCATGTCGTCATTCAGCCACGACTCGGTGAAACATAAGATATTACAGTTTTTAATGTCCCGTTGGTAGGATATCCGTGATCGTAGTTTGTCTATTTTGTTATCCAATGATTGTACGTTGGCTAATAGGACTGATGGTAGAGGCAGATTACCCATTCTCCGTCGGATCCTTACAAGGCACCCCGACCTATGTTCCTGATATCTCTTGTCGGGTGTCTGAAGAAAATCCTTCGCGTCTGACTCATTAAAGAAAAAAATATTAGTCCACTACGAAGTGAGTAATCGCTGTACTGATATCCAGAAGCTATTTTCGGTCATAAGAGATGGTGGCAGAAACATTATGTACAAAATACGTTACAAATAACGTGAAAAAACACAAATAGCACAATTGGTTAGGAGCCCGTAAAATGGCAGCCATCTCCTCCGGCGCCATTCTGGTCCAAATGTAAGCAAGGTTTGAAATGATTATGTTTTAATCAAATAGTATATCTGTTTGGGCTTCTTGCGGTCAATTTGCAGTCTACAAATTATTTGTAATTATGTTTAGGCCCCCTGACCATCCGCTCAACAAACAAATATCGTCCCGCGGCTGAATCTAGTTGATGATCTCTGCCTAAATCTAAAATTGATTGTGAAGCTCAACAAAGTCACGCTTGGATAATTTGAACATTCTCATTTCGGTACCATAACTTGATTGGGATTTGGGATTTCCTCAGAAACCGTTGTCCAATGTCCCACCAGTGTCACTCCACCTCAAAGCAGCCAATGAGATTCCTGGTATTTACCGAACAGCACAAGCATCAGATGTCCCAAATACTGTACATACTAGACATGCTTACCGGCAGCGTGAAGCTAAGCCTCTGAGGCAAATCGTTTGTTTCCCCAGCGGAGAACACAGAAGCACTTCTCAATGGCTGTTAAGAAGCCTTATAACAGCAACTGAGTACACTACAGTGATAATTAACTAATAATTAACTCCATTTGCAGCCCATGATGAACCAATACAATGCTTTTCAAGCTTTGACGAGGAGTGAACGAGTGCACACTTACTTCAGGGAAAAGGGGGAGAAAAAACGGCAGTGGGCTAGTGAAGAGTTTTCATATATATACCGTGTTGCATTCGCGAGCGTTGCAAAAGAAATGTACACATACATTTTATTAAATCAATTCTTCCGAACTGCTCGTGCGCATCAACAAGCGTAGCCATGCGCTAAAATAAAACGTTGTTCTATTGTAGACACGCTGCAAGTCCCGCCTCTCTCATGTTCTCATTGGTTTTTAGGAGCATTTACCCACATGGGTTACTGAAAGATGAACGAGGGCCACACTCCAGTCCATTTGGTGGTGGTAATGCACCTTAAAGTTGGTTGCCAACAGCCATATAAAATCCACAGAAGAAAAAACTAGTTTCCCCTTTTTATCTGTGTATTAATTGTCGGAGTAGAGAGCACACAATTTTGTTTCAACATGGGTCATACCTAGCAAAAAAAAGGAACATGAATTTCAGGTATAATAACAACCCAATGTTTATTTTCCAGGTCAAATTAGCTAGCAACAGCAAGCTAGCTAAATGTATATGAATGTTTCATGTGTGTTTCGATCTGTCCCCAAATTAATATAGTTGGTTCACAGTTGGTTTTGGTATTTTAACCTGTGAGTCATAAACGTGTCTGGTGGGGATCGACAAAATCAACACACGCGGAGCCAGTTTGGTCAGCATGTAAGACCACACTTAACGAGCTGTATAGGGCCATTCGCAAACAAGAAAATGCACATCCAGAGATGGCACTTCTCGAGGCCGGTGATCCGTTTTACCTCAACTTTACCACCGTGTCACCTGTGCAACTAGAAGCAACAAAAGTTGTTCACCTTACTCAACACATACAAACGCATACAAGGCTCTCCCTCGCCCTCCCTTTGGCAAATCTGACCATAACTCTATCATCCTGATTCCTGCTTACAAGCAAAAACTCAAACAGGAAGTACCAGTGACACGCTCAATTTGGAAGTGGTCCGATAAAGCGGATGCTAAGATACAAGACTGTTTCACGATTCATCCGATAACATTGAGGAGTTTACCATATCAGTCACCGGTTTCATTGTCCCCTACGATGGAATCGGGGAGTGGACTGTGGATCGGTCTCCGTCTGTTCGTCTTTATTTATTTTTTATTTTTTTTGTTCGTACTTTAGTCACACAAGATATCTCAGACAGCACAGGCACTAATGTATTTTTTTTTCCACCAAGCAAGGACTTCTTGTATGGAGGTCAATGAGAGAGTGTTGAATTTGGTTAACAAAAAATTTAATGGCTTATGAATGTTTCATGTGGCAGGTATAGCAAACTATCACAGATTACCAAGGGAAACCCAGCCGCAAGCAACACTGAACCACGCATGAGCGCACCAGCTGTTTCGGACGACTGTGTGATCATGCTCTCCTTTAAACAGGTCAACATTCATAAAGCCGCGGGTACAAACGAATTACCAGGATGTGTACTCCGAGCATGCGTGGACCAACTGGCAAGTGTCTTCACTGACATTTTCAACCTCTCCCTGACCGAGTCTGCAATACCTACATGTTTCAAACAGACCACCATAGTCCCTGTGCCCAAGAACGCAAACATAACCTGCCTAAATTATTACCGCCCCTTAGCACTCACGTTGGTAGCCATGAAGTGCTTTGAAAGGCTGGTCATGGCTCACATCAACACCATCATGCCGGAAACCATAGACCCAGTCCAATTCGCATACCGCCCCAGCAGATCCACAGATGACGGAATCTCAATCACACTCCACACTGCCCTTTCCCACCTGGACAAAAAGGAACACCTATGTGAGAATGCTGATCATTGACTACAGCTCAGCATTCAACACCATAGTGCCCACAAAGCTCATCACTAAGCTAAGGACCCTGGGACTAAACACCTCCCTCTGCAACTGGATCCTGGACTTCCTGACGGGCCGCTCCCAGGTGGTAAGGGTAGGCAACAACACATCTGCCATGCTGATCCTCAGGGGTGCGTGCTTAGTCCCCTCCTGAATTCCCTGGTCACCCACGACCGCGTGGCCAAGCACGACTCCAACACCATCATTAAGTTTGCTGACGACACAACAGTGGTAGGCCTGATCACCGACAACGATGAGACAGCCTATACGGAGGAGGTCAGAGACCAGGCAGTGTGGTGCAAGGACTGCATTGTTGGTCCACATCATCAACAAACTATCATGGTCCAAACACACCAAGACAGTTGTGAAGAGGGCACGACATCACCTTTTCCCCCTCAAGTGACTGAAAAGATTTGGCATGGGTCCCCAGATCCTCTAAAAGTTATACAGCTGCACCATCGAGAGCATCCTGACCAGTTGCATCACCGCCTGGTATGGCAACTGCTCGGCATTTGACCGTAAGGCGCTACAGAGGGTAGTGCGTACAGCCCTGTACATCACTGGTGCCAAGCTTCCTGACATCCAGGACCTAAATTATATACTAGGCGGTGTCAGAGGAAGGCCCAAAAAATTGTCATAGACTCCAGTCACCCAAGTCATTGACTGTTCTCTCTGCTACCGCACGGCAAGCTGTCCCAGAGGGCCAAATCTTGGACCAAAAGGCTCCTTAACAGATTCTACCCCCAAGCCATAAAACTGTAAAACAAACAATAAAATGGCCACCCAGACTATTTACATTGACCCCCCCAGCAGTGTTTTTATACTGCTGCTACTCGCTATTTATTATCTATGCATAGTCACTTTACAAATTACCTCGACTAACCTGTATCCCCGGACATTGACTCGGTACTGGTACACCCTGTATATAGCCTCGTTATTGTTATGTAATTTTCTTGTGTTACTTTTTATTTCATTTTTTAGTTTTAGTTTATTTAGTAAATATTTTCTTAACTCTATTTCTTGAACTGCATTGTTGGTTAAGGGCTTGTAAGTAAGCATTTCACGGTAAGGTCTACACCTGTTGCACGAACTCTTTCCACTTATCACATACGCTGCTGCTACTGCTTATTATCTATCCTGTTTACGAAGCATGTGACAAATACAATTTCATTTGATTATGTTGGTCTGTGTGAATGTCTGGGCTGAACATAGAGCTAGACAGAGGTTGAGCTTAGTGTGTTCCACTACTATATCCACTTAATTAACTAGGCTTTTATCTTTTCAATTCGCTAGTCAGAAAAAAGTCTGCCGAGCTCTCTCCCACTAGAATGAACGATATGCATCTTCTAGCGATCTATTGATAGGACAGGTGCCTGTCATTCACAAAGTGAGCGATGACAGGGAACACTGCTGGTTTGACAGTCTGCTGTCTGTCCTGCCTCTCAGTACCTGGGTGTGTGTTTTGTGCGCTGAAAAACATACCAACACCATGCTTCACCGTAGTGATGGTGCCAGGTTTCCTCCAAATGTGACGCTTGGCATTCAGGCCAAAGAGTTCAATATTGGTTTCATCAGACCAGAGAATCTTGTTTCTCATGGTCTGAGAGTCCTTTAGGTGCCTTTTGGCAAACTCCAAGTGGGCTGTCATGTGCCTTTTACTGAGGAGTGGCTTCCGTCTGGCCAGTCTACTATAAAGACCTGATTGTTGGAGTGCTGCAGAGATGGTTCCCCTTCTGGAAGAGGAACTCTGGAGCTCTGTCAGAGTGACCATCGGGTTCTTGGTAACCTCCCTGACCAAGGCCCTTCTCCCCCGATTGCTCAGTTTGGCCGGGCAGCCAGTTCTAGGAAGAGTCTTGGTGGTTCCGAACTGCTTCCATTTCTGAATGATGGAGGCCACTGTGTTCTTGGGGACCTTCAATGGTGCAGAAATGTTTTGGTACCCTTCCCCATACAATGCCATTCTAAAGAATAAAGTAATGACTTGTATTGCTAAATAATATTACACAGCTTTTTAATACATATCATAATAACAAAATGTAGCCTATTAATAGCTGAATATAGAGAGTAAGCCCCAATGCATTTAACGGTGTTTTCACATATAGTCCTCTTTAAAATACCTGATCTCAGTCCTCTTTAAAGTTCACTGGGGTAAAAAAAAATAGTAAAAGCAAAATAGCTCAGTTCTCTTTGTATTCACACTGCCCTTGCCTTTGAATGAGGACTCAACTCTTTTGTAAGTTCACTTCACCTATTTTGTGGACCGAGTCCTCTTTGCATTCACATTTCTATGTTTAGAAAGGAACCAAGATCTTTTTCCAACATGCAATCAGAATGTGTTATCGGACAGCTAGATATACCTACTTACATTTTGGAAGCTATAGATTGCATTTAATTAAAATGTGAGACATAATAATTGTAAACAGAAGATACTATTAACATGTACATGTTATTGCTAACAGAACAAATAGCAATAGAATAACTGCAGAATAAATTATGATGTAATTGAAAATTGTACACCCAAGGTAGGCTACTGCCCCTTTAATAATTAGAATAGATTTTGTACCCTATATTGCGATTCTCACCAAATAGGTTGTCTTCTCACACTATTCAAACCCCACAATCAATAAACAGCTTATGAAGCTCTTTTAGCCTATAGATCACATATAGCAAACAAATAATCTGAACTAAAAACTCCACACATTTTGGAATTTCTGTGCGTCCTTAACAATCGCTAATGAATATCCAAAAACAGCACACATTTTTTCCTGTGAACCTGCACATCATCATCTTCTCTTTTGTGGCACCAATGTGAGGTTATAGGCAGGGGAAACAGTGTTGCAGTAGTTTATTGTGTGGTGCGGGAATAATGACAAGCGAACCTGGGGAGCTTTGTGTTCAAATTGCCCTAAAAAAGAGAACCGGACCGCGGAATTCAAGCGAACCGAACTCAGACCACCTCTTGAGATGGTTTCAGTTCGGTTCGCTTCGGGGGCTCTTTTGAGGGGTCTGAGTTCCTTTGGAGTGTTCACACAGCACAAAAAATTAAGTGAACCGCACTGAGTTCACAAAAATTGCCTGAAAGGGACCAAGTGTGAAAACACCCTAAGAACTACACCATGTCCGGGCCAGTAGAAATTCTGTTCGGGCCAGTACATTTTTGGCCAACTGGCCCTTCTGGGCCAGTGAGAAGAAAAGTTGAAATTGGGCCCTGGCGTGCTTCATATGCAGCCACGGAGTGGTGGCGCATAGGCTATTTACTGTGCTTTGATTGACGAACAGGTGTCGAACTGACTGAATAAAGTCAATCTCATATCCTTGCCATTCATAAATCATACAACATAGTTACTGTATGTCCATGGTATCGCATCGGGACAAGTAAACTAAAGATCTCGTTTGTATTTTATATATGAAGTCCATCAGGACTTGCCAGACAATGATAATAAAGGGATACTTCGAAAATTTGGCAATGAAGGCTTTTATCTACTTCCCCAGAGTCAGATGAACTCATGGATATCATTTTTATTTTCAGTTCAAGGTAGCTTTGCGAGCCAATGCTAACTAATGTTAGCGCAATGACTGGAAGTCTATGGTATCTACTAGCATGCTAGCAGTTACCAAATACTTCCAGTCATTGCGCTAACGCTAGTTAGCATTTGCGCTAACGCTAGTTAGCAACTTCCTTCAAACTGCACGCAGAGACTTAACATTTCTATCCACGAGTTCATCTGACTCTGGGGAAGTAGCTAAAAGGCTTCATTGCCAAAATACTGAAGTATCCCTTTAAAGTGAGTGACTCGTCAGTAGCCTACCGAATCGCATCGGTAAGAGAGCCGTTCATTTCGCTCCCTAATTTGCATACTGGTAGGCTTTTTGGCGATTATCTGCAGATAAATTATAAAAACATTTGATGAAGATGGTGAATCCTCCTCACTGCTGGAACAATAGGTAGTGGAGAGATAGCCTCACTCTGGATCCAAAATATGATAACAGAAAACAGACTGAATTGTTTTAAAAGCAAATGATTCTTATATGGTATTTTAGGTCTACTGATTTAATCAAAGTGTTGACAATGGAATAATTAACTGCTGCTTTCTGTGTAGCAAAGCCCATGATTAAACACCTGCTTCATTCTTCAATAATACCTGTATTGCAGATAGCTGAGAAAATCCTCTTAAAAGGAAGCTTGAAGTCTGTAGAAGTTGATGAAACGAACACTGTAAAAGCGTGATTTAAAAAAAAATCAGTGTTCTTTCCTGATAGTTGCTGGTTGAAAATACAATCTAGCATTAGGATGTACCAGAGGCCACCAAAATAGAGCTTGTTCAGCAAAAATGTATAAACCCGGGGGGCAAGCCCATCCCACAGCCTGGGGGAGCCTGGCTGGCTACCTTTTCTATTTGTCTGGCTACTCCATGTGCTTCTGGAAAACACTGTGGGCTGTGAATGTTTGGGCTGAACACAGAGCTAGACAGAGGTTGGGCTGTGTGTATAACTGAGCTGAGCCTAGAGGGCATCAGCATGTCAAACCAGATATGAGGTGACAACTACAACAACAGGTAAACACACAGAGGAGAGGCCTGCCAGTAAACAAGCAGCTTTAGCTGGGAGCTAATATGTGTAGCTATATGGTGTAATAGAAACAGTCGTTTTGAATAGATCTTTACTCTTTACTCATCACAGAGGTGTGTGGGCGGGAGGAGTGCAGGCCGGCAGGTACTGTAATGTTTGTGGTACCCACAGAAAGGCTGAGGCCAGGGAACCGTTTGTGGACTGATAGTCGGGCCTGTTGACACAACACTGGACAGAAGGACAGTACTGGTACTACAACCTACCTACATGATTATTACAACTCTATCTGTGTGTGTGTGTGTGTGTGTGTGTGTGTGTGTGTGTGTGTGTGTGTGTGTGTGTGTGTGTGTGTGTGGTGAAGGAGGGGAAGGTTTACAGGATAGGTGACCAGCGGTGATTTGATCCTTCTAACACTTAAAAACAATCCCCAGCCCTCTTCTCCACTGGCTAAGGGACCATGGTTTTTCCTTGTACACGTCATGCAATCCCCGCTCCTCTCTCATACACACACACACACACACACACACACACACACACACACACACGTCCCGTGGTTGAGGCTGCTGTATGCTAGATACCTAGCCGGCCTAGCCTTCTGCTGCTGGGAATAATCAGTGTACACACAAGCATAGGAACATCATGTTCATACACACACACTTACAGTTGCTCTTCTGTTGCCTAGCAGCAGAGAAAACACACACCATCCACAGGTTCTCCTCTCCTGGCCCCACCCTAACCCATCCCCTCCTCTATACACTCTGCATTTATCTGTTATTACTCTCCCAGCCAGCTATGGAATGCCGTTTGGGTCTTTGCTTGTCAAAAAAGATACACGTCAAATAACACTATTTGACGCCTCAAATAACACTATCTGACGCGTCAAATAACACTATTTGACGCCTCATATAAGCTTGTCGACCAATCAGGACCTGAATATGACTGCATGTCACATAATAATTTAACATGTTCATCAATAGTTTTTATGATTACACTATCACTCGTATTTCATATGTCACAGCGATTCACTGATATGTATGCTATGATGCTGGTAAAGTTTTGTCTTGCGCACCTGCCACTGCCGCACTTCCCCAAGTTCTGGGACAGTGCTGGTCAGAAAACAAAAGTTAGCTAGCTGATGGATGCAAACAATGTTCTCCCCTAAAAACATAGCAAAAATACATATGTTTCAGTAGCTATAGTTAGCTATCCACAAACGATTCCCTGGCCTCAGCCTTTCTGTTGGCACCACAAACATTACAGTACCTGCACTCCTCCCTCCCACACAGCTATGTGTCATCATTTAAAATACCCCACGTTATGGACAGTTTTCGTATTTGGTTGATGATGGTCGGACCCGGTCCGGTCGAGCCACCCTAGTCAGATGAAGCTAGCTAGGTGCTTATAACGTTAGCTTGGGGCAACATGGCTAGGTAGCTGGCTAGCTTGTTTATTTCATTATTTAGCTAGTTAGCTAGTTATTTTCATTAACTGAAGTTCTATTTCATTAGGAGAACAACAAGTGGCTGCCTAGCTAATACTTAGTCACATGTATTCCTAAATCATTGCTAAGAATATTGAAAATGATTGCAGTTTCTGGTAATTGTTTTCAGTCTGGTTGCATTGGTTCTAGCTCAGTACCAAGCCAAAGCTAGCTAGCCCAGAAGTTGCAAATAACATCAAAGGTATGTGTGAGTGACTTTCTCACACTGCAAACCGAAGTCAACGTAGTAGGGAGACAGCCTACCTCCAGTTTCCAAACGGTCATCAATGTTGACAAAATTCTTGATTATTACCCTCACAAAAATTTAGCATGGTAGTACAATGAAAAAAATACCATGGTACTATCATGTTTTTTTGGTCACTGCCATGGCAGGAAAATACCATGGTATTTGCACCAATACCATGGTATGTTCCTGCCATCGTAGTGACCAAAAAAAAAACATGATATTATTCCATTGAACTAACTACCATGGTACAAAAAAATACCATGGTTTTGTACTAGCAGCATGTAGTGAAACATGAAAGCATGGTAATTGTTTACAATGTATTATGATGGTCTGTATCCCACCATTTTTGGGGTAAAGTGACCAAAAACATAGTAATTTATGATACTCACAAAATGCAACATTGACTACTCACTCAGCAAATGGCAAAGCATAGGTCTAGTACCCTCTTAAACCCCTTTAGCTCATAGTGAAAAACCACAACACACATGGTCTAGTAGTGTAGTGTACCCTCTTAAACCTTGGGACCTGGATAGGGTATAGTGAGAAGAATGACGGGAGTCTGAAACATTGAAGATATGAAATAATCTGGTGCTTCTCTCTTCAATACAGTTTTCAGTTGTCTCTCTCTCAATCAACTGACTTGGCTACTCTTATAAAATTACCCCTTTTTTCACAGCAACTATTTCCCTTTTTCTTTGATATTACAGACAAATTAGGACCAACAATAGTAGCCTGCCTCTGACTTTATCAGAAACTTGCCCATACTGGTATATAAATTCATCAATATAATACCAATCAACCTCTTTTGACCTTGGGGGTTTATTTATTTATTGCATTATACTGGTAATGCACAATTAATAAAGATGGTACCATATGATAATTCTTGGTACCATTTATCATAATCGTGCATTACCATGGTAGAATGTATAATGTGGTTTAAATCCACGTTTTTTCCATGACCCACATCTATACCATGGTATAAATGAGGCAATGCCATGGTATTATGTAGGTGTATGGCAGTACCATCATACTTCAAAGCTACAACCATGGTACATTTCCATGATTCAGATCTATACCATGGTATAAATGAATCAATACCATGGTAATATTTAGGTACAATGGCAGTACCATCATACTTCAAGGCTAAACCAATGGTACATTTCCATTATTCAGACTATACCATGGTATAAGTGAAAGTACCATATTAATACCATGGTATGAATGAAAGTACCATAGTAGTGCCATGGTACATTTTTGTAAGGGTATTCTGTATTTTGACTAGCTAGGATGAATCGGGTGCAACTGCTTGGGATGTGGCTGGCTGGCAGGCAGAAACAGCAGGGACTCTGATAGCAACAGGATCACCATCCTTTCTCTGCTGCCTCTGTGATGGTTGCATGTCGGGGAAAATGTTGGACTACTAAATAAGATACTGATCTTATTTAAATGCTCACACAGACATTTACCCATTCGATCAAACACATAATGGCTTATTACCAATGCGGTATGCAAACACATCATGGCCTGTTTGCAGACAATATTTTTTACAGCTTTGACAGTGCTACTGACCGTAGTTGTGGCGCTTGGCTTGCGCATGCAAATTCAGCAGACATAACATTCTATAATAGAATTGTGTTGTTTGACAGGAGAGAGAGAGAGATGGAGAGAAACATTTTAAGGACTTGACAGGACACTCCTAGTCAGTGCTTTCACACCCAGTTAGTGAGCTGAACCTCACACTGTTATTGCAGTCTGGGTACTAGTGGAGCAGCTGGTAGCGTGTAGGCACCCACACATACACACACCTCCCTCGCTTGACGGGGGTGGGTTGTCCGTGGAGCCAGGAAAAATATGCATTAATAGAGGAGAGGCACACACATACAAACAGTAACAGGCAGGCATCATTAAAAAAAATGGTATCCTTAGAAACCCTTTTCTCTAAGGGTTTCTAAGGAAAGGGTTTGAAATAAATGCATTAGGCCCTAATCTATGGATTTTACATGCCTGGGAATACAGATATGCATCTGTTGGTCACAGATACCTTGAAAAAAAAGGTATGGGCGTGGATCAAAAAAACTGTCAGTATCTGGTGTGACCATCATTTACCTCATGCAGCACGACATCTCCTTCGCATAGAGTTGATCAGGCTGTTGATTGTGGCCTGTGGAATGTTGTGTCACTCCTCTTCAATGGCTGTGCGACGTTTCTGGATATTGGCGGGAACTGGAACATGCTGTGGTACACGTCGATACAGAGCATCCCAAACATGCTCAATGGGTAACATGTCTGGTGAGTATGCAGGCCATGGAAGAACTGGGACATTTTCAGCTTCCAGGAATTGTGTACAGATCCTTGCTACATGGGGCCGTGCATTGTCATGCTGAAACATGAGGTGATGGATGGCACGACAATGGGCCTCAGAATCTAGTCACGGTATCTCTGTGCATTCAAATTGCCATCGATAAAATGTAATTGTTCGTTGTCTGTAGCTTATGCCTGCCCATACCATAACCCCACCGCCACCATGGGGCACTCTGTTCACAACGTTGACATCTCAAACCGGGCCATTGGCCCGGAACAGTTGAAACCAGGATTTATCCGTGAAGAGCATACTTCTCCAACGTGCCAGTGGCCATCAAAGGTGAGCATTTGCCCACTGAAGTCGTTTATGATGCCGAACTGCAGTCAGGTCAAGACCCTGGTGAGGACGACGAGCATGCAGATTAGCTTCCCTGAGACGGTTTCTGACAGTTTGTGCAGAAATTATTTCGTTGTGCAAACCCACAGTTTCATCAGCTGTCTGGGTGGCTGGTCTCAGACGATCCCGCCGGATGTGGAGGTCATGGGCTGGCGTAGTTGCACGTGGTCTGCAGTTGTGAGGCCGGTTGGACGTACTGCCAAATTCTCTAAAACGACGTTGGAGGCGGCTTATGGTAGGGAAATGAACATTCAATTATCTGGCAACAGCTATGTTGGACATTCCTGCAGTCAGCATGCCAATTGCACGCTACCTCAAAACTTGAGGCATCTGTGGCATTGTGTTGTGTGACAAACCTGCACATTTTAGAGTGGCCTTTTATTGTCCCCAGCACAAGGTGCACCTGTGTAGTAATGATCATGCTATTTAATTAGCTTCTTGATATGCCTGTCATGTGTATGGATTATCTTGGCAAAGGGGAAATGCTCACTAACAGGGATGTAAACAAATTTGTGCACAGAATTGTAGAGAAATAAGCTTTTTGTGCATCTGGAAAATGTCTGGGATCTTTTATTCCAGCTCATAATAATATGCCATTTAGCAGACGCTTTTATCCAAAACGACTTACAGTCATGGGTGCATACATTTTTGTGTATGGGTGGTCCCGGGGATCGAACCCACTACCCTGGCATTACAAGCACAGTGCTCTACCAGCTGAGCTACAGAGGACCACATGAAACATGGAACCAACACTTTAGATGTTGCGTTTATATTTTCTCATTCAGTGTACTTCCAAACTAGAGAACGTATTTTTTCTTGCTATATTTTTTTTAAATTCACAAGCTAAGTACAAAACCTGGTGGATTTGTTGTTCATCAGCGTCGTGGGAACCCCCATACCATCTCAGGAGCTGTTACATAAGGCTGAGGCAGACACCAGTACCGCTTCATAGTAATGGAGCACACTTGAATCAGGTTGGTCACATTTGATCTGGTTAATGGTCAAAATACAATCTGTCCTGGAATTAATCTAATCACCATTGATAATGTAATCAGTGTTGTGTGTATATATGTGTCTTCTATGTTGTAAGGAGGTGCCCCCTTCCACTGTGCCAATGAACTACTCCTGGGCCTGAGTGAGTAATGCCAACCAGTCAGTGCTATGCTAGCACGTGTCCCTTGTGAATAAGCTGTGAATCCGGATCTCTGATTGGCTATGCTAAACCGTGTATTTACTGTTGGCTTCCATGACTGTGTGGTGACAGTCTCTCTCTCTCTCCCTCCCTCTGTGATACAGGAGCTGGGTCGGATATAGTAGCCAAAGTCGTGCTGCTTCATGACCCGTATCTGTGACGAGAGGAGCCTGGTATCTGCCAAGATACTTTCAGTTGTCTACAGTGTCTACCACCTGGCCCTTGATAATAGTGTTATGAGGAGTAGGGGGTTGACGCCTGAAATCAACACACATATCTGTCACGTCTAGTCATGCACCTCCCCTCCAGCGTTTGACGTCGCCGGTTTTCTAACCACCGGCCTTGGCTACCCATCATTACGCACACCTGCGCCTCATCATCAGGCACACCTTGACTCTATCACCTTCCTGATTACTCCCCATTTATAGTCAGGTCCATAAATATTTGGACATTGGCCAAGTTATTATTATTTTAGCTGTCTACCACAGCATATTGGAGTTGAAATGAAATAATTAATATGAGCTGAAAGTGGGTATTTACATCCAATCGGATGAACGATGTAGGAATTACAGCACTTTTTATATGTTGTCGTCCCCTTTTTAAGGGACCAAAAGTAATTGGACAATTGGCTGCTCAGCTGTTCCATGGCCAGGTGCGTGTTATTCCCTCATAGTTCATTTACAAGGAAGCATATAAAAGGTCTAGAGTTGATTTCAAGTGTGGCATTTGCATTATGTTGCTGTTAACCCTCAATATGAAGTCCAAAGAGCTGTCACTGCCAGTGAAGCAAGCCATCATTAGCTCAGTTGGTAGAGCATGGCGCTTGCAACGCCAGGGTTGTGGGTTCGATTCCCACGGGGGGCCAGTATGAAAAATCGATGCACTCACTAACTGTAAACAACTGTGGTGGATGACAGAATAATTATTTCCCTGGTGAAGAAACAACACTTCACAACAGTTGGCCAGATTAAGGCTCTGTCGTAGCCGGCCGCGACCGGGAGACCCATGCGACGGCGCACAATTGGCCCAGCGTCGTCCAGGGTAGGGGAGGGAATGGCCGGCAGGGATGTAGCTCAGTTGGTAGAGTATGCCGTTTGCAACGCCAGGGTTGTGGGTTCGATTCCCACGGGGGGCCAGTATGAAAAAATAAAAATAAATAATGAATGAACTCACTAACTGTAAGTCGCTCTGGATAAGAGCGTCTGCTAAATGACTAAAATGTAAATGTAATCAAGAACACCCTCCAGGAGGTAGGTGTTAAAGTCAACAATCAAGAGAAGACTTCACCAGAGTAAATACAGAGGGTTTACCACAACATGTAAACCATTGGTAAGCCTCAAAACCAGGAAGACCAGATTTTGCAAAATAAAAAACCTGTACAGTTCTGGAACAACATCCTATGGGCAAATGAGACAAAGATCAACTTGTACCAGAATGATGGGAAGAGAAGAGTATGGAGAAGGGAAGGAACTGTTCATGATCCAAAGTATACCACCTCATCTGTGAAGCATGGTGGAGGTAGTGTTATGGCGTGGGCATGTATGGCTGCCAATGGAACTGGTTCCCTTGTATTTATTGATGATGTGACTGCTGACAAAAGCAGCATGACGAATTGTTTAGTGCTATATTGTCTGCTCAGATTCAGCCAAATGCTTCAAAACTCATTGGACGGCGCTTCACAGTGCAGATGACCTGAATCATACTGCGAAAGCAACCCAATACTTTTTTAAGGCAAAGAAGTGGAATGTTCTGCAATGGCCAAGTCAATCACCTGATCTGAATCCAATTGAGCATGCATTTCACTTGCTGAAGGCAAAACGCCCCAAGAACAAGCAGGAACTGAAGACAGCTGCAGTAAAGGCCTGGCAGGGAAGAAACCCAGCATCTGGTGATATCTATGGGTTCCAGACTTCAGGCAGTCATTGACCGCAAAGGATTTGCAACCAAGTATTAAAACTCACAATTTAATTTATGATTATGTTAGTTTGTCCAATTACTTTTGAGCCTCAAAAATTGGGGGGCTATGTATAAAAATGGTTGTAATTCCTTCACGGTTCATACACTAATTTAGACAAAACCCTTAATTTAAAGATGAAAGTCTACACTTAAAGCACATCTTGATTGTTTCCTTTCAAATCCATTGTGGTGGCGTACAGAGCCAAAATGATGCAAATTGTGTCACTGTCCAAATACTTATGGACCTGATTGTATACAGCACTATACTGTTATTTCCCATCAGGCGTTATTGACTCTGTTTCCATGTCCCAACGCTACTCCTGTTTCTGTATTGTTTATTGTTCGCGTTCTATTAAACTCTCCAACTGCACCTGCTTCCTGACTCCCAGCGTCTACGTTACAATATCTTTAGTTTTTATCACATTCAGTTGTAAGAATGCACTGTCACACCAATGTACAAAATCATCAACAACAGTCCGTGGGGCAGTTTCATCGGCTTGAAGGAGACTGACTAATACAGAGTCGCAGACAAACCTCAGGATGTGTCGTTTCTTATACTGGCTACAACAATCATCAGAGTACAGGATATAGAGGAGAGGTGAGAGGACACAACCCTGGGGAGAGCCTGCTGATGATGACAGCTCCCCTGACAGGCACCCATTCACCCTCTGGGTTCTGTTAATAAGAAAGTCAAGGATCCAGCCCACTACATTAGTTAGCATCTACACCAAAATGATGAGTTTGTTCACTAACAGGTGGGAATAGTGTTATAAAAGCCGACAAAAAGTCAATAAATAACAGCTTGGCATGGGTTTTGCTACCCTCTAGATGCTTGCATAGAAGGTAAAGTAGGGCGACAGTAGCATCCTGTACACAACGCATATCCCTGTATGCACACTGAAATGGATTAAGAAGGTGTTGTGTTTTGTCCAGAAGCTCCTTCTTAATCAGTTTCTCAAAGGACTTGAGACCAAGGATGTCAAGGCGACTGGTCTGTAGTCATTGAGAACCTTTGGGGGACTGTTTTTGGCAACTGGGATCACAGTAGACTGTTTACATAGTTTTGGTACCCTCTGGTGGCTGGGTGATACTTAAAGATGTGATTAAAGATGGGTACTCAGCTGACATTTGGAATTGTTTTAGTTATCAAGAAATAAAAATATTACATAAAATATTGAATTTGGCCTTTACTACTATAGCCCATAGAAATGCATCGAATAACACATTCATAAATGGCAAAAAAGACAGTCAAAAAAGAAATCATAAGGAATAAGGTTTTGAAGTGTCTGTCCTATATCTGAGACATATAAGAAATAGGCTTGGGCGGTATACTGTACATACCATATACTGGGGTATTTAGAAAAATACAGCTGAAACTATTTATTTGTTTTTTTTATACATTTGAATATTTGTAGCTACTTTTTAAGTAAATACCTGCATTCAACTTATGCAATGCGTTAGGAAATAAATAAAGAACATTGCGTTCTTCATTTCACCAGTCACATTATCATGTAGCTTATGGTAGTCCCCAGTCACGTGTCATGTGTTGTTGTTTGTTAACAAGCACACAATGACGAAATGCCGGAGCCTCGTGAGTCACTCACTGTCGTGCAGCATGTGCCAGGTGATCTAATTACAGAATGGAATTCACAACTAAATGTTTGCCAGCTAGATATCTTATAACTATTCAGTTAACTGTTTAAAATATGCTAAATGCTCTGCAGTTTGCATTTGGTTTGTTCATTTAGTAGCTAGTTAGCTATCTAGCTAAGCACTTAGCTTCTTCCAAAAACAAGCATTCGCTTGATAACAGCAGAGAATCCCCCTCCTGGATCAAGAACCTTGGTGGCTAATGTTCGTTTTGCGCATGAGGTTCGTCTTCTGTTACATCCCACTTTTCATGTGTCTAGGATTAAACTTCTGTCTCACAGCCCTATGTCTCCTGTTTTGCTTTCTAGTCTTCCCGGTTCTGACCTTTCTGCCTGTCCTGACCCTGAGCCTGCCTGCCGTTCTGTCCCTGATTGACTCTGCCTTGGATTACGAACCTCTGCCTGCCCTCGACCTGCCCTTTGCCTGCCTCTTTGTTATAATAAATATTCAGAGAATCGAACTATCTGCCTCCTGTGTCTGCATCTGGGTCATATCCTGAGTCGTGATACCTACAGCTCGATGGTGGTTATACAAGGCTGCTATACTAAGCCTACTAATTATAATGACATTACTTATTATAATGTTGATCATAATAATAATAGTAATAATAACAATAAAAGGAGATCAAGAACAAGGAGGGTTATTATTATTACAACAATTTTAAAAATCTGACAATTTCAAACAGTGTAAACACTAAATTCATTCTAAATAATACCAGAGAGGCTGTTCTCACATAAAGTAAAGCCTTTATTACAGCAGATTAAAAACAGCCGAATTTGTGAAATTGTTTATCCGACATGTTGTGGATGTGTGAGGCTATTAAACAAACACTCAAACAGGCAACACAAGCAGGATCTGTCTTATTTCTGTAGATATATATGGATGATTTCTAAAGCCAGGCACATTTAACAGTTAGGCTGTTGATTATAGACCTAATTAAGTTGCGGTTTCCTCTCTCCTCACTTTTCTTAAGACAATTAAGGCAAGGGCTGTTTTCTCGTCTCCAAACTCCACTGCTGCCTCCGCTGCATTGTTCTCAACACCAAATATGCTGGGTAACTTTGCTATTATGCACATAGCAACATGGTCTAGGAAAAGGCGCCAATTCAACATCACACTGATGTTTCAGAACCGCGGACAGCTACCACTATCCAACTTGGGAGAAAACGCATTTGTTATTAAATAATATTATTTTTATTAGTGTTGCACCATTGTTCTTGTGTAATATAACCATATACAATTTCAATAGCACATATCTTAGAGTGATGAACTGTGCCATCCCCACGGCCTCCACAATAGATTAGTCCACGCAGGCAGGTGTGAATCTGACAGGTTTCTTGTACACCATCAAAAAAAGAAAAGAAAATGTTGCTACAGCTCGACTAAAGAAATCTTGGTCGACCAACAGCCTTTCGACCAAAGAATCGACCAGTCAACAAAATGGGGTCAGCCCTAATGTATTTATAGCCTAATATAGACTAATTTATTTGTGTTCTGAGGAAATGTGAATGTGATCAAATTTGGTTTATATTCAAACTTTGGGTGGGAATAACTTTTTAATTACAGATGCAAAGGCCTACATGATGCAACCCTGCATAAAGCAAGCTCAGCCCTGTTATTAGTTATATTGTCCAATCATCAGCATTGTTTGTCTCTTTGTCTGTATAAATTCATTTGAACAAGTACAAGGTTGCTACAGTTTGACGGGGTTTTAATGTTTTCATCCTCCCTAGGGTCAGAAGTTTTTCCAGGAGATAAAAACAACATGACTTGATTAGAAAGAAAAGCTGGTCCCATCATAGCTCATTGCGTTTTTTACAGCTGATTAATTACTATGTCCTACCCTACTAGGGTCCGGAGTTGGTTAGTTTAGCCCCTACCAGATCAGGAAAAACTCTGGGCCACAAGAAAACAATTCCCCCACACCACTCTAGGACCTGAAATCAACACATAATTTTAAAATTGAAAAAACATATATTTTTTGTATGATCTACTTTCGACACTATACATTTCTTTTGGTGGTGGGGATGGGCTTCCATAGTTTACGTGGCTCAGTGCAGCCGGCAATTTCAGAATGTGACAGGCTGTTACTACGATTACTACAATAATCTACTGGGAGGCACAGTCAATGGTCCCAGCCTGCTAGCAGATACCCATAGACTTCCAGTCATTGCGCTAACGCTAGTTAGCATTAGCTTGCGAAACTACCTCTATATTCCTTCATATTGGACATAGAGACATAAAAATGGTATCTACTCGTTTATCGCACTCTGGGGGCCTCATTGCCAAAATCCCAAAGTATCCCTTTAAGAGCGCTGGGCCAGTAACTGAAAGCTCGCTGGTAAGTGAATCCACTGCAGCGTAATTATCACATCATAGCATATCCCATTGCTGCGGCAACAGGAGGGATTATCCCACCACCAGGCAGGCCAGAGAGATCATGTGATTCAACAGGGTGACAGCCTCTTGTAAAACCACCTGTAATTAAATCATAGAACAGTGGCGATATGAAAGGAGGTCATAAGGAACTAACCACATATCCTCTGCCTTTTTATGGCTCACTAAAGAAATGCGTGGAAGTAATCTATATTTTTTTATACAATCACTATTAAACTTCCAAAGATAAAGATCAAAACACTATATAAACTCCCTATAACAAGCATACCACTGGGCAGTGACAGCCATGTCCTCTCAGCCAACATGTGCCTGTGAGTTCCATCTCAGAGGAGTTCCAGAATGCTGAGCCCTGTGAGAACCTGATGAGAGAAAAATGCAAAATGGCCACCGACTGCCATAGTCTAATTAACGGTGACTAACCCCAATTCGTACACATTTGTGTTTCTATTCAAGCATTGATTGACATGGTAATGGACCAATAGTATTGGAGAAAAGTAGAAATAACTGACCCCTCTGACGCTGTACGTTAAATTGTGATGTGTCACGACATAACGTACGGCACGCATTATGAAACTCATTCTGTGCCGTACAGCCTCTTTCCACCAGGTGTAGCGCTTCTCTCGCAGATTAAAAACAAGAAATGATCAAAGGTGAGTGTAATGGTGATTGTAAAGTTCATTACTTGTGAGTTCATCAATAGTTCATTCAATCAATTGTTAATTTGTTGCATAATCACTGCTAGCCATCATGACTCTAAAAAAGAACGTGACAGCCAAGGTTTAATTGTGAAGATACATTTTGCGCCGCCCTAAAAACCCTATTCAAATTCGACCCAAACCTTCAAATAGGTATGTAATGAGACATTATATAAACTATTTATAGTGTTTTATTTCAATTTTAGAGGTGATAAGTTGGACAAATCAGGTGAAAAAAGCCGCTTCCCCACACGACATATCTCCCCCTTTCACTATCACACAGTAGCTTTCGCTTCCCCACCCGCCATTTTTAAAAGACCCGGCGGAGCTCCATTGCCTTCTTCAATCATGCAGAGACGGGCAGCATGAAGGTCTCGTCAATGATTTTGCTGGAAAGGTGAGAAATTGTGCTTTACAATGGTTTTCATATTACAGTTGACCTGGAAGTATTACGTTTTTGGGGCGCTAAAATAAAGTCAAATGTATGGAACAGCGCAATGTACGAATGTTCGTTAGCTATCGTTAACTGGCTGGGCCCTGTAGCCTATCATTCCTTCCCTACCCTCCTGTGATGCAGCAGCAGGAATACCAGAGGTTGGCTGGCTGGCCCAGCAGGCACTGACAGGAATGCTGTGTGTACCCGGGAGCAACACTTGAAAAGCACAGCCATGTTTGTTTTTCATTATTTGTTTTGTTTTGGCCCCTTCTTCTCTTCTATGGACTCTTACTCTTCTCTTCTTCTCCCAGTCTGCCTGTTTGCAGGCAGTACTCGTCTCGGGTCCTCCTTCCCTCTTCGTTCCTTTTTTTTCTCCCTCTGTCCTTTTTTTCCACCCACTGAAAATATATATATTTTTAAAGAAAACCACACTGGGCCACACATTTCAGCAGATGAGAGTGATATGGCGGCCACTCAAGGGAAACTGGGTTCATCAGTGTAAATAACGTGGAGATGACCCGTGGTGAGTTTTCAGCCCGACACTTGAAAGAGAGAATGATAAAGAGGTGCTGACTGGTAGAGCAGGACACTGATCTATGGAGGAGGAAGGTGTGTGTGTGTGTGTGTGTGTGTGTGTGTGTGTGTGTGTGTGTGTGTGTGTGTGTGTGTGTGTGAGACAGTGATCTGTGGAGGGAGGTGGCAGGAGAGAAACTTATTAAGCAGGACAGAGGTGAGTGAGGGGGAAATCTAAAACAGTCTCCCATCACTAGACTACATCTGCATCCAGAAACTCTGCATCCAGAAACTATTGGCCCTGTTGGTAGCCGATATCAACAGTAGGGGTTTACATACATTTTTCCTTGTCAAGTGGTCACATGGTCAGGAAAAACTCATAAAAGCAAAAGACAAGGCGACACAAGCTTTCATGTGTTGGATTCTAGCTTGAAATACACTTATTCATGTTACCATACTAGAACTTATTGATTACTTTACATGTATAATGAATGTATATGTTGGGGTCAATGGAGGGAGGATAAGAACTAGGTGTATGGAGAGTTACTGAGTGAGACAATGGGGGAGGCAGGAAGTTTACATTCTGTCAAATATGTTATTGTTAAATCTCATGGATCCTATGGAGGGAGGCAACAGCCTGGTTTCAGTCACTGATAAGGTAGGCCAGCCGTGGAGTAGGGAGGAGTGAGGAATTCGGCCCGAGGTCAGGTCAGATGAAGTGACAAGGAACAGTCCTGTTACACACATATACTTACATGCACACGAAGGCGCTAGCAGGAGGCGGGGCCATGACTACACCAGTGAGAGGAACCAATTAAGTTCCTGACTAGCAACAGAGGTGTATTGGCTGTCTAGATGTGCAAGGAGTTGACTCCGCCTAGTAGAAGGGTATAACTATATGTGCTTGTGTAAACATGTCTTTGTCTTTGCAGCTGTTTGACCCAGTGGGGAAATAAACTTGGTTTGAGCTTTTCCTTGTCATCCGTTTGAGTTTTTTCTCTGTTGTTTAGAAACGAACACATGTAAATCAACGCTTTTATGCTATAGCTTCTCTAACTGCCATTTCAGAACCAGTGCAGCCCCTGGCTAGCTACTAGCCTAGTGTGTGTATGGCCCTATGAAATATTGTATCAGTTTTTTCCCAAATTGCATTTTATCCATTTCGTTTTTCCAGGTTTCTGTTTTTCAGGTTTTCACTCTCAAAATATCACTGTTGTTATAGAAAAACAACAAAATTGGATGTTCTAAGTCCACAATGATGTTTAAACCACATCATGAGACCAATTTTGAGGTCTGGGAAATATCTAAGAAATGGGTGAAGATAACCTTTAAAGTAGATACCCTTTAATTTAAGTGTGCACCAGCAAGAGACTTGTTTGGTTAGTGGTGTTTCTATAGCACATGAGTTTGCTAAACAAATCGCCACTGGATTGCTGCAAATAATCATGATATCATTCTGCCGGGTAGGCATAGGCTACTTTGTAGTAAACATTTAATTTAGGTTTTTGGGAAAGCTTTTGCATCTACCAGAAGACGGTTATCATTATTAGCATCATCGCTAACGGCTACCCAAAGTGGTAGACAAATGTGCACACACAGACAGGGGCATTCCCACGTTGCCTCTTCAGAAAGTTAAAGGAAAATATGAATCACTGATGCATTTTGTTCATGTCTTATGATAACTAAGTTCAATAAATTTTTTAATATTGTTGAATTCCGTTTCAATGTCTGGATTCTGTGATTCCGTCCGCGTTCTATGCATCGCTGATTTTATAGTGCCCTATGTGTGTGTGACGCTGCAGAGAAGGATGGTACTGACAGTGACAGAGCCTTCATCTGGGACAAAAGCTGGGGGGGGGGGGGGGGGGCAATGGTGCTCTGGGCGGCATGCGGACGAGGTGGCTGAAAAACAGTTGGAGGCAACAAAAGAGCACAGCCCTCCACAGCCTATGAACTTTGACCTGGAAAGTGCTCTCAGTGGCACAAGAGAAGGCTGCCTACGCGGCCGAATAACATTCACAATAGCAGAACACTGTGTGCCAGTGGAACAGACATCAACTATCTACACAGGAGATCTGCTATGTTTACTCTCTCTTAGCTTTCTCTCTCTCTAGGTCAGTCTTTCCTTCCCTCTTTCATCAGTTTACCACTCTAATGTAATTGTTATAGGAAGAGACTCTGGATATCCCTGTTTTCTGTCTAAGAAATCTGTTCATAAGAGGAGAAAGGATCAGCTAATAGTTATCTTTGCCTATAATTAGCCTAGACAGCAATTAGTAGCTGAACAAACACCCCCCAGACCTCCCTCCTACCCTGAGTTGGCCTCCATTTCAGGCTGCGCTGCCTGGTTGAGAGTGAAAACCTGTTTACAAAGGGAGGGGAGAGGAGAGAGGGGCAGGAGGTAGTATCACTCGAAGTGTCTTATTGTGAGTTGACATCACCAGGGCCCAGTTGGTCCACTAGCCCTGCGTGTGCCCAACCAAGCCCTGACTTTACACACTGAAGCGGGCCGCAGCACCGATTGATGGAAGCCCTGCCCAGATCAGTCACTTGTCTGGCATCCATTACATGCCTGAGAAAAGGGACATTTTTATCATCCACGTGTGCCTGCCATCTTTCACACTCTCTCACTTTCTCCCAATCTCTCTTTTCAAAGCCGTGAAGAGGGTGAGAGCAAGAGAGCCTCTCCAGACAAAGAGAGCATTCACTTCTTCATTAGGGGGCATTCCTCCATCTCTCTTTCTCCCTCCCTCGGCCTCTCCCTCTCTCTCCTCTCAGGACACCTCAGGTGACAGAGACCTCATTACAGGCGGTAATCAAGGCTTATAAAAAAACATCAAACACCAGCGCACGTTACCATTAATAACCAACATCCCTTCTGGCATGAACATACCTAAATCTATTCACAAAGACCTGATGACATGTTACTGGAGCAAAATAGTACAAAGCTATAAATGTCACCGCTATACAATTCTATACATTCTTGGAAAGTGAATATTTAACTTAATCATGACATTTGAGCCCTTTTCAAATAAAACATTTTATCCAAGAAATGCATGAAATCTAGGATAATGCATTTATTTATACAGTATCTTTAAGACCGTTGCCTTTTAATTTTAGGTCTAATCACTATCAACACACCACAGCACACTTATGGTTACGTACACTTATACATGCCGTTCAAGTCAACCAGAAAATCTGCAAAGACTTGTGACTGCTTGTAAAACCGGAGGAAATTGCAGCCTGAGCATGGTTTACAAAACCTACTCCATAACAAGAATGACCTCCTCCACTTCTCTCTGCTAGCTACAGTGGGGGAAAAAAGTATTTAGTCAGCCACCAATTGTGCAAGTTCTCCCACTTAAAAAGATGAGAGAGGCCTGTCATTTTCATCATAGGTCCACGTCAACTATGACAGACAAAATGAGAGAAAAAAAATCCAGAAAATCACATTGTAGGATTTTTTATGAATTTATTTGCAAATTATGGTGGAAAATAAGTATTTGGTCAATAACAAAAGTTTCTCAATACTTTGTTATATACCCTTTGTTGGCAATGACACAGGTCAAACGTTTTCTGTAAGTCTTCACAAGGTTTTCACCACTGTTGCTGGTATTTTGGCCCATTCCTCCATGCAGATCTCCTCTAGAGCAGTGATGTTTTGGGGCTGTCGCTGGGCAACACGGACTTTCAACTCCCTCCAAAGATTTTCTATGGGGTTGAGATCTGGAGACTGGCTAGGCCACTCCAGGACCTTGAAATGCTCCTTCGTTGCCCGGGCGGTGTGTTTGGGATCATTGTCATGCTGAAAGACCCAGCCACGTTTCATCTTCAATGCCCTTGCTGATGGAAGAAGGTTTTCACTCAAAATCTCACGATACATGGCCCCATTCATTCTTTCCTTTACACGGATCAGTCGTCCTGGTCCCTTTGCAGAAAAACAGCCCCAAAGTATGATGTTTCCACCCCCATGCTTCACAGTAGGTATGGTGTTCTTTGGATGCAACTCAGCATTATTTGTCCTCCAAACACGACGAGTTGAGTTTTTACCAAAAAATTATATTTTGGTTTCATCTGACCACATGACATTCTCCCAATCCTCTTCTGGATCATCCAAATGCACTCTAGCAAACTTCAGACGGGCCTGGACATGTACTGGCTTAAGCAGGGGGACACGTCTGGCACTGCAGGATTTGAGTCCCTGGCGGCGTAGTGTGTTACTGATGATAGGCTTTGTTACTTTGGTCCCAGCTCTCTGCAGGTCATTCACTATGCCCCCCCGTGTGGTTCTGGGATTTTTGCTCACCGTTCTTGTGATCATTTTGACCCCACGGGGTGAGATCTTGCGTGGAGCCCCAGATCGAGGGAGATTATCAGTGGTCTTGTATGTCTTCCATTTCCTAATAATTGCTCCCACAGTTGATTTCTTCAAACCAAGCTGCTTACCTATTGCATATTCAGTCTTCCCAGCCTGGTGCAGGTCTACAATTTTGTTTCTGGTGTCCTTTGACAGCTCATTGGTCTTGGCCATAGTGGAGTTTGGAGTGTGACTGTTTGAGGTTGTGGACAGGTGTCTTTTATACTGATAAGTTCAAACAGGTGCCATTAATACAGGTAACGAGTGGAGGACAGAGGAGCCTCTTAAAGAAGAAGTTACAGGTCTGTAACAGGCCATTTTGAAAGTCTTGCCATAGAATTTCAAGCCGATTTAAGTCAAACGTGTAACTAGGCCACTCAGGAACATTCAATGTCGTCTTGGTAAGCAACTCCAGTGTATATTTGGCCTTGTGTTTTAGGTTATTGTCCTGCTGAAAGGTGAATTTGTCTCCCAGTGTCTGTTGGAAAGTAGACTGAACCAGGTTTTCCTCTAGGATTTTGCCTGTGCTTAGCTTTATTCCATTTATTTTCATCCAACAACAAAAAAACTCCAGAGTCCTTGCAATTGACAAGCATACCCATAACATGATGCAGCCACCACCATGCTTGAAAATATGAAGAGTGGTACTCAATGCTGTGTTGTGTTTGCCCAAAACATAACGCGTTGTATGCAGGACAAATAGTTAATTTCTTTGCCATATTTTTTGCAGTTTTACTTTAGTGCCTTATTGCAAACAGGATGGGAGTTTTGGAATATTTTATTCTGTACAGGCTTCCATCTTTTCACTCTGTCAATTAGGTTAGTTTTGTGGAATAACTATAATGTTGTTGATCCAACAACAGTTTTCTCCTATCACAGCCATTAAACTCTGTAACTGTTTTAAAGTCACCATTGGCCTCATGGTGAAATCCCTGAGTCAGTTTCCTTCCTCTCCGGCAACTGAGTTAGGAAGAACACCTGTAACTTTGTAATGACTGGGTGTATTGATACACCATCCAAAGTGTAATTAATAACTTCACCATGCTCAAATTGATATTCAATATCTGCTTTTTATTTTGTTTTGACCCATCTACCAATAGGTGCCCTTATTTGCGAGGCATGGGAGAACCTCTCTGGTTTTGTGGTTGAATCTGTGTTTGAAATTCACTGCTCGACTGAGGGACCTTACAGATAATTGTACATGTGGGGTACAGAGATGAGGTAGTCATTCAAAAATCATGTTTAACACTATTATTGCAACATATTATGTGACTTGTTAAGCACATTTTTACTCCTCAACTGTATTAAGCTTCCCATAACAAAGGGGTTGAATACCTATTGACTCAAGACATTTCAGCTATTCATTTTTTATTAATTTGCACAAAATTATAAAAACATAATTCCACTTTGACATTATGGGGTATTGTGTGTAGGCCACTGACACAAAATCTCAGGCTGTAACACAATGTGGAAAAAGTGAAGGCTTGTGAATACTTTCTGAAGGCACTACTCTATTCCAGGCAGTGTACTGACTGAACAGAACACAGTAAAAACAATACAACTATTACTCATCCCAGAGTTTCCACTCAGCCATTAAGTTTAATGCTCCATCTAATGTACCTCCATGTCATGTGTGCGGAAGTCTTCATTCACTAAGCCCTAATTAAAAATACTCGCACCCAGCAGAAAGGAGAGAGAGAGAGAGAGGGAGAGGGAGTGCCTGCTTGTGTGTGTGCGCACCGCATGTGAGCGTACAGTTGGTACATTGCACAATCACTCAAGTAAATGGCATTTCTCCCCCTCCGTTAGTTACATTTTTACATTTACATTTTTAGTCATTTAGCAGACGCTCTTATCCAGAGCGACTTACAGTTAGTGAGTGCATACATTCACTAACTGTTACAAGAGGTGCCTTTCAGAAGTCAAATACAAGCCCTTCTATTACTGTTCCAGTTGGAGTCCTAGAGGACGGTGGAAGGGACTTGGGCAATGGCGGACGTGTAGATAGATAGAACACATGTCGGAAGGAAGGAAGGGGGGAATGGAAACTCTCTCTTGCCCTCTCCTCGGCTGAAAGACTAGTATGCACACTCCCCAAACACACACACACACCCCTCGCTGTGCGTGCGAGAAGCATTGCATCATGTTCTAAAATTGGCTCCTGCTTTGACACACACCACTTGACTAAACTAGTGCCTATCACATGACGGGGATAGGACCATCATACCTGCTCCGCTGCCCTTTCCCCATCAAAGGACACCACTCTCTCACTCCATCCATCTCTCCCTCTCCTTTTCTCACTCTATCACCCATTAGGGCAATTCCACTGTAACAGATTGATGCTGAGACTCTGATTTTTTACTTTAAACCAATGATTGCAAAGTTAAATAAACCAACTCTATGCACAAGGACGACCGAATTTCCACAGAAAATGGTACAGAAATACATTTACTTGAAGAACAGTGCAAATGCAAAGTTTAGTAACAGAATGATGGCACAAACAACACAAACGGTCATTCTGTTACCAAACTTTGCATCTACACTGTTCTTCAAGTAAACTGTGTTTTTGTAAAATTGTATCTACAGTGAGGGAAAAAAATATTTGATCCCCTGCTGATTTTGTACGTTTGCCCACTGACAAAGAAATGATCAGTCTATAATTTTAATGGTAGGTTTATTTGAACAGTGAGAGACAGAATAACAACAGAAAAATCCAGAAAAATGCATGTCAAAAATGTTATAAATTGATTTGCATTTTAATGAGGGAAATAAGTATTTGACCCCTCTGCAAAACATGACTTAGTACTTGGTGGCAAAACCCTTGTTGGCAATCACAGAGGTCAGACGTTTCTTGTAGTTGGCCACCAGGTTTGCACACATCTCAGGAGGGATTTTGTCCCACTCCTCTTTGCAGATCAAGTCATTAAGGTTTCGAGCATGACGTTTAGCAACTCAAACCTTCAGCTCCCTCCACAGATTTTCTATGGGATTAAGGTCTGGAGACTGGCTAGGCCACTCCAGGACCTTAATGTGCTTCTTCTTGAGCTACTCCTTTGTTGCCTTGGCCGTGTGTTTTGGGTCATTGTCATGCTGGAATACCCATCCACGACCCATTTTCAATGTCCTGGCTGAGGTTCTCACCCAAGATTTGACGGTACATGGCCCCGTCCATCGTCCCTTTGATGCGGTGAAGTTGTCCTGTCCCCTTAGCAGAAAAACACCCCCAAAGCATAATGTTTCCACCTCCATGTTTGACGGTGGGGATGGTGTTCTTGGGGTCATAGGCAGCATTCCTCCTCCTCCAAACACGGCGAGTTGAGTTGATGCCATTTTGGTCTCATCTGACCACAACACTTTCACCCAGTTCTCCTCTGAATCATTCAGATGTTCATTGGCAAACTTCAGACGGGCATGTACAGTGGGGAGAACAAGTATTTGATACACTGCCGATTTTGCAGGTTTTCCTACTTACATAGCATGTAGAGGTCTGTAATTTTTATCATAGGTACACTTCAACTGTGAGAGACGGAATCTAAAACAAAAATCCAGAAAATCACATTGTATGATTTTTAAGTAATTCATTTGCTTTTTATTGCAAGACATAAGTATTTGATACATCAGAGAAGCAGAACTTAATATTTGGTACAGAAACCTTTGTTTGCAATTACAGAGATCATACGTTTCCTGTAGGTCTTGACCAGGTTTGCACACACTGCAGCAGGGATTTTGGCCCACTCCTCCATACAGACCTTCTCCAGATCCTTCAGGTTTCGGGGCTGTCGCTGGGCAATACGGACTTTCAGCTCCCTCCAAAGATTTTCTATTGGGTTCAGGTCTGGAGACTGGCTAGGCCACTCCAGGACCTTGAGATGCTTCTTACGGAGCCACTCCTTAGTTGCCCTGGCTGTGTGTTTCGGGTCGTTGTCATGCTGGAAGACCCAGCCACGACCCATCTTCAATGCTCTTACTGAGGGAAGGAGGTTGTTGGCCAAGATCTCGCGATACATGGCCCCTTCCATCCTCCCCTCAATACGGTGCAGTCGTCCTGTCCCCTTTGCAGAAAAGCATCCCCAAAGAATGATTTTTCCACCTCCATGCTTCACGGTTGGGATGGTGTTCTTGGGGTTGTTCTCATCCTTCTTCTTCCTCCAAACACGGCGAGTGGAGTTTAGACCAAAAAGCTCTATTTTTGTCTCATCAGACCACATGACCTTCTCCCATTCCTCCTCTGGATCATCCAGATGGTCATTGGCAAACTTCAGACGGGCCTGGACATGCACTGGCTTGAGCAGGGGGACCTTGCGTGCGCTGCAGGATTTTAATCCATGACGGCGTAGTGTGTTACTAATGGTTTTCTTTGAGACTGTGGTCCCAGCTCTCTTCAGGTCATTGACCAGGTCCTGCCGTGTAGTTCTAGGCTGATCCCTCACCTTCCTCATGATCATTGATGCCCCACGAGGTGAGAACTTGCATGGAGCCCCAGACCGAGGGTGATTGACCGTCATCTTGAACTTCTTCCATTTTCTAATAATTGCGCCAATAGTTGTCGCCTTCTCACCAAGCTGCTTGCCTATTGTCCTGTAGCCCATCCCAGCCTTGTGCAGGTCTACAATTTTAACCCTGATGTCCTTACGCAGCGCTCTGGTCTTGGCCATTGTGGAGAGGTTGGAGTCTGTTTGATTGAGTGTGTGGACAGGTGTCTTTTATACAGGTAACGAGTTCAAACAGGTGCAGTTAATACAGGTAATGAGTGGAGAACAGGAGGGCTTCTTAAAGAAAAACTAACAGGTCTGTGAGAGCCGGAATTCTTACTGGTTGGTAGGTGATCAAATACTTATGTCATGCAATAAAATGCAAATTAATTACTTAAAAATCATACAATGTGATTTTCTGGATTTTTGTTTTAGATTCCGTCTCACACAGTTGAAGTGTACCTATGATAAAAATTACAGACCTCTACATGCTTTGTAAGTAGGAAAACCTGCAAAATCGGCAGTGTATCAAATACTTGTTCTCCCCACTGTATATGTGCTTTCTTGAGCAGGGGGACCTTGCGGGCGCTGCAGGATTTCAGTCCTTCATGACGTAGTGTGTTACCAATTGTTTTCTTGGTGACTATGGTCCCAGCTGCCTTGAGATCATTGATAAGATCCTCCCGTGTAGTTCTGAGCTGATTCCTCACCGTTCTCATGAGCATTGTAACTCCACGAGGTGAGATCTTGCATGGAGCCCCAGGCCGAGGGAGATTGACAGTTCTTTTGTGTTTCTTCCATTTGCGAATAATCGCACCAACTGTTGTCACCTTCTCACCAAGCTGCTTGGCGATGGTCTTGTAGCCCATTCCAGCCTTGTGTAGGTCTACAATCTTGTCCCTGACATCCTTGGAGAGTTCTTTGGTCTTGGCCATGGTGGAGAGTTTGGAATCTGATTGATTGATTGCTTCTGTGGACAGGTGTCTTTTATACAGGTAACAAACTGAGATTAGGAGCACTCCCTTTAAGAGTGTGCTCCTAATCTCAGCTCGTTACCTGTATAAAAGACACCTGGGAGCCAGAAATCTTTCTGATTGAGAGGGGGTCAAATACTTATTTCCCTCATTAAAATGCAAATCAATTTATAACATTTTTGACATGCGTTTTTCTGGATTTTTTGGTTGTTATTCTGTCTCTCACTGTTCAAATAAACCTACCATAAAAATTATAGACTGATAATTTATTTGTCAGTGGGCAAACGTACAAAATCAGCAGGGGATCAAATACTTTTTTCCCTCACTGTAGGCCAGGGGTCGGCAACCTTAGGCACGCGTGCCAGCCTTATATATATATTATTTTTGTGGCGTGCTAAGCCTTGGCTGGACGTTTATTATCTCAATTATTTTTGCCAGTTTAATAAATAAACTGGAAAAATCTTTTAAATTGCGTGCATTGGTTTCGAAATAGCATTGGTATTCACTGCAACGTTGTAGTTCCCAAGGTATGTCAATCCTGATTAGCCTATGGGCTTTCATGAATTTGCAGGAGTTTCATATTATTAGTTCAGCGCAAGATGACCCGCCTCTCCCGCCAAATTCAAAACCAAGGCAGCACTGAAGATGAGAGCTAGCAGCTAGCAAGCCTTCTTTTGTTATTTAAAAAAGTTCAGGGTGCTAAATGTCATCAGCAAAGATAAATAAGGCAGATGTCCGCTCATTTATTGCCTTTTGGACAAAGGAATATGGATTTGTTTTGCTGAAGGACCGGTCTGTTCGCGCTCTCTGTTGTAAAACTGTTGTTTGTCGGACATTAAGTGTACGGAATTATTTTGAAACGAGACATGAGAAAAACTTCAAGGATGAGGCGGACAAGGCTGAAGGAATCAAGAGGGCCGTGTCCAGGTATGAAAAGCAAAGCAGTGTGTTTACAAATCTACATGCAGTCAAAAATGTAGCTACAGAGGGGAGCTACAAAGTTGCGCAGTGTATTGCTAAACATGGAAAACCATTTACTAATGGGGAATATATCAAGGAGGCTTTCCTCAGTAGTTCACAGGCTTTATTTGATGGACTGCCTAACAAAGACAATCATCAAAGATTAAAGACATGCCTGTGTCTGCCAGAACTGTTGAAAGGTGCGTTACCGAGATGGTTGAAAATGTAAAGGTGCAGCAAACTGTAGCGTTAAAAGATGCACCTGTGTTTAGCGTGGCTCTTGATGAGTGTGGATGTTAATGGCATTCCATATCAGGCAGTTGTTGCAAGATACTGTGACTCAGAGCAGGTACGTGAGGAGCTGCTTTGTCTAAAACCCATGCTTGGTACTACTAAAGGGGAAGATGTAGCAAAAGCTTTCACAGATCATTTTGAGGAGAGAGGTGTCGATATTAAAAACATTTTCGCTATTACAACTGACTATGGTGGGGAAACATAAGTGATTCGCAAAGCTGATTGAAGATAAGATTGGCACTATATCATCAGTTAAATGTCACTGTATCATTCACCAAGAAAATCTGTGTTCCAAGATCAAACCCATGGTGCTAATGGACATCTCCTCTGTTTAGCAAGCTATGGAATTATTCAGTTTGTGGGCAATTAGATATTCAGTAGACACAATTAGTTGTTATGCACATATGAAAATCATAACTGGCACGCAGATCATTAGAAATGTTAGGATAAATTGTAAATTGGCAGTCCACACAAAAAAGGTTGCCGACCCCTGATCTAGGCCTATGTGCTAGCTAACAAGGTAGAACAATTTAACTGTTATGAACACACCCTCCTGTCAGTCTCCAACAGTTTGAACAGCATGCTAGCCTGTCCACATTGTTTAGATGTTGAATACCTGGATAAGATGCTTATTTCTCAGAATTAGTTGCCAATTTCTTATATAAATGCTTATTTTAATACTCATTGCACATTTATAAAACACAGACTAAACAGTTAGCACATAACAGTCTGTAGCTAAAATGCTGCTAGCGGTACATGGTGCCGCGCGTGACAGAAACTGAGCATTCATTTTCCAGAAACAATGTTCATTGATACTCCCGGTCTGCTTTCCGTCAACTGAGTCATAAAAAGGGTATAGTTAGAAAGGTTATGTTCTCCTCTATTACAGTAAAATAATGTCTCAATGTGTTTCGGTGTCCATATGGCTGATTCTGTTAGACAAACCATGAAATGCAAATAACAAATTCCAACTGCTTGTTGTCAGAGAGGAAGAAGTGATCTTTCATCTGTGTTGTTGTGAGTGGCAGGGGGAGGGGCTTGGTGTATGAATGGGAAGGTGTCATTGTGACATGAAGCACAGAAGTAGCGAAGGAGACAAGACCAAAAAGACAAAATGAGAATAAGCGGACAAACGCTCATAAAAAATATATTAGAATAATACTTGATTCTTGCGATACAGGCATTTGGAATTTCGCGCAAATCATACATTCAAATTAATCAAATTACTTTGATATATCGCCCAGCCCTAACATGCATACAAACACTCACACACACTGACCCTTCACATGAACTGATTCACACACACACAGATCCATCACACACACACAGAGAAGAGAGCGGATGACAGCAAGGGAGTGTGCAGTAAGATTTATATTGGCACAAGCTGCACCTTTCACCATCACCCCAGCTCTCTCTCTCTCACACTCCCTCCCTCATCTCTCTCCTCTTCCTCTCTCTCTCCTCTCCCAGCAAAAGCCTTTTCTCTTTCCAATGATATTGTCAGCGTGCTTGTCTGCCTGAGAACTTTGAATTGTGTATGAGGCCAGCCTCTCTCTCTCCTTATTCTATAGTTACAAAAAACATTCCCTAAATGCTCCAGTCAATGAATTCAAATCAAAGGGGGTAGGCATGGCCCGTGACTTATTATAGAAAGAACAACAATCCCTCTCATTTCAAAAGCCATCTGTGCAAAAGCATCATTCATCTGAATTCACTGGGGAGGAAATCTCTCTTCCACACGGTTATCATTATCTCTCTGTCTCTCTCTCATCCATCCTGCTACTTTACAACAGAGAGACAGCCAAACAGACAGCTCTGGAGAATTCCTGCTAGCATGAGGTGAAATAACTTACAGGAATGGTCAGAGTGACATCCAGGCAGAGCTGAAGTTATTCTATATTTAACATCATAACCTTATTTTAATCTTCAAGTTGGCACAGGTAACAAATGAAATTGGATGAAAATGCCAAGCAATTAGGCCTGGACCTTCATACATTCACATATGCCAACTGAACATATCAGGAAAGTATCAGGAAAGGACCAAAGAAAACGTGTGGGCTACCAATGTTTGAGATATAATCATTTATATACAGTACTCTCTTTTGTGTGTTCTTTACCATTCTTTCAGAATTCCTTTGAGTATCTAAAAAGGCCACTTACTTCTCTGGCAGTGGTTCTGAGTCCAGCAGCGTTCTCCAAAGTGTCCGTTGATGGTAGTCTGAGGACAGGTGGTCTTCCCATGGGCTGTGCCCGGACACACGTCCCCACACTCCCGGTCGTTCTTATTGGCCATGATGTAATTGTCCTCCACCGTGTCCAGGATCTTGGACCAGTCCAGGGTGGAGAGGTAGCAGAGGTCCGGGTTCTTCTCCACCCTCACGGCTCCCCGGGTGATGTTCATGAGGCTGTGTAGCCCCAGCTCCTTCAGGTCCACCATCTCAAACAGAACCAGGGCATAGTTGAAGAACAGGTTGTTGCCTCGGATCACCGTCAGGTTGGGGAACAGGTCGCTGAGCGATTCTAGACCGTAGACCCTAAACAGGAGGAGGAAGTCGGTGACCACGGTCAGCTTGGGGTAGCTGAGGCCCTTGAAGTCCTCTGGCTTGGCCTTGAACATGAGGAGGATCTTCAGGTGGCCCTCGATTACTGTGCAGTTCTCTAACAACTGCAGGTTGGTCACGTTGTTACGGATGTCCTTACTCTGACAGACTGGGGGAGAGAGGAGAGAGAAAATAGAATGGGGAGAAGAGCGAGAGAGGAGAAGAGAGCGTGAAAATAGAGCAGGATAAAAGAGAGGAGGAGACACGTCAGTAGCCACCTTGATGAGTAGTAGTAAGACATTGTTTTATTTTGTAATTTCCTGGAACACTCAGCTGATTCAAGACAAAAATGTAAATAAATTGACGTAACATTGGGTTAGGGTTGGTTTTTACAACACAGGATGAGTGTAGAATTGTGTGCTAAAAAAACACAAGAGGTAGATAACATCACTATTTTCTCTCTTCCAGCAACAACCATAAAACACTAATACATTACACACCATTCATAAGACTGCTGCATCCTCTTAGCTACTACTGCACGGCACCACAGCACCACGCAAAGCAGAGGGCCAGTCAACCCATTTACCTGTGACTATTTTCATGATACAGCACAATCCTTATTTAACACTGTATTATAACACTGTGTTAGCCCACTAAGTTATAGGTCCAATGCAGCCATTTTTATCTGAATATCAAATCATTTCTGGGTAACAATTGTGACTCGTTGCAGGAAACTAGGCGTATGTTGTGTGTCATTACTTTACAGGAGAGGCATTTGAATGTAAACATTTTTTTTTTTTAGCAAAATTCATTTTTGGGGCAGAAATGCCTTCTGGAACATGTGAACATTCATGTGCCTTAATAACAAACGTTTATGCTATCTGTAAATACGAATAAAATTGTGAAATTAAGAGCCTAAATGGTTTAGCCACGGAAAAAGACAGCAACCTTCCCGCTAGCCATGATTGGCTGAGATAATGGATGGGCTGGACATGAGTTCAGATTGGAGATGAGTTCAGATTGGTCTGCCATGTAGCTCGCTTCTGTCTATAACATGAGCTGCTCAGTATGTGTAGGTAATCCTTTCTAACGCAGCTTTTTTGAAAGATATCATGAAGAACTGTGATAATGCTGCTAATGCTCTCCACTCTCTGGAGGACCGAGTTTTGAAGTCAGTGGAATGACCGGTGGAAGCAGAGTATGATAGCTAAGGAGATGGAGAAAATGCAGGTGTTTGATTGCAAATATATGCGGAGGGAGTCGAAAAGAGAACACACAAAGGCTGTTGTATAAAACAACCATCTCTGGATTACATCTTTAAACTAAGGGCAACCATGGCATCTGTGACAGAGAGGGAGAAGCGTTCATCCATGTATACGGGTAAGAGAGTCTAGCTAGCTACATTTTCCGATATTATACATTTCAAAAATTGGGATTATGGTTCATTGTTTAGCTAGCTAGCTATAAACAAAATAATCCTCTATGCAAGTAACCATTTCACTGTACCGTTTACACCTTCTGTATCCTGTGCATGTGACAAATAAACTTTGATTTTATTTTATATAGTGTGTATTTACCAGAGACGGTAATGTGAAGAACAACATGACCTGCATCAAAGTCAAAGTAGGATATAACATTAGGCAAATGAGACAGTGTCCATGTTCTAAAATTCTCTGGTAGAATGCCCTGCTTTTATATTGTCACACTCACAACCGTAAGCTATTTTCTGTAATTAGCTCGACATTAACTTGTAAATAAGGATCTTGTTGTGAGTTTATTTTCCTGTAATAATGAATACAAATTAGCTAGTTAAGACGTTGTCAGCTTTATGATATGATCATTATTTGAACTGGCTAGCCAGCTAACTTAACGTTAGCTAGCTAGCTTTCAAGCTAGAAACTAACCAAAACATTGTTTAGAATGTTGTTTTTAATTGCCTGGTTTGCTAGATTGACATATACTAAATTAATTTTTAAACAGATGAGTTTATTGGTGTTAAAAAACACTATTTTAGACCACCAGGCTGCTGATGTCATTCAGCCTGTTGTTTTTGTGTGTATACTTTTTTCATAACGACAACGACAAGTTTGATGTCAGACGACAATAGAATGTTCATTGATATCACTGCGACAACTGTATACAGACATGTCGATAGACAAAGTATAAACCAGCTTTTAGTCTTGAAATCTTTGGTTGTTTAGTACACTACCGTACTGTTTAGCACATGGCCTCATGTGAATCCTTAAAGAGATGGGTGGGACTAAGGCTTAAGAAGGTGTGAACGATGCTGAATGGGTGTAGACAAAGAAGAGCTCTCCAGTAGGTGCACCAAAACATTCAAGGGCCATTTTCTCAAAAGTGGGGTTAGAAGTTCAAACCAGAATTACTTTCCCATTGTTCCTCCACTCTAGTGTATGATATACAATTTTATAGCTCTGAGTGTCTACTTCTATCCAAAGTAAAAAACACCATTTCAAATTTTGCTACTTAAGACCGAATCGAGCCGGTCGATTACAATTAAGTACCTTACTGTTATTGTTTTCAATTAAAATGAAAAATAAATAAAATAATAGCTTCTTAGCTAAATGCAATATCTCAAGCAAGAATTTTGTTAGGACTGTCTGAGAGTGGTCTGAGAGAGAGGCTTAATTGGAGGAGCCTAATGGGAGGGATGTGTAACCTGAAAATTAGCTGTTATTGGCAGAGAGGAGGGCACACTCTTTGTTATTGGTCTATTAACTTATACCGCCTGGTGATGTCACCAGGCAGTCCAACAAGCCCACCCAGTCAAACAAGCTGACATTTTCAAGCATTCTTTTCAAACAGCTACAGTGGGGAAAAAAAGTATTTAGTCAGCCACCAATTGTGCAAGTTCTCCCACTTCAAAAGATGAGAGAGGCCTGTAATTTTCATCATAGGTACACGTCAACTATGACAGACAAATTGAGGAAAAAAATTGCGCAGTGCATTGTAGGATTTTAATGAATGTATTTGCAAATTATGGTGGAAAATAAGTATTTGGTCACCTACAAACAAGCAAGATTTCTGGCTCTCACAGACCTGTAACTTCTTCTTTAAGAGGCTCCTCTCTCCTCCACTCGTTACCTGTATTAATGGCACCTGTTTGAACTTGTTATCAGTATAAAAGACACCTGTCCACAACCTCAAACAGTCACACTCCAAACTCCACTATGGCCAAGACCAAAGAGCTGTCAAAGGACACCAGAAACAAAATTGTAGACCTGCACCAGGCTGGGAAGACTGAATCTGCAATAGGTAAGCAGCTTGGTTTGAAGAAATCAACTGTGGGAGCAATTATTAGGAAATGGAAGACATACAAGACCACTGATAATCTCCCTCGATCTGGGGCTCCACGCAAGATCTCACCCCATGGGGTCAAAATGATCACAAGAACGGTGAGCAAAAATCCCAGAACCACACGGGGGGACCTAGTGAATGACCTGCAGAGAGCTGGGACCAAAGTAACAAAGCCTACCATCATTTTGAGTGAAAACCTCCTTCCATCAGCAAGGGCATTGAAGATGAAACGTGGCTGGGTCTTTCAGCATGACAATGATCCCAAACACACCGCCCGGGCAACGAAGGAGTGGCTTCGTAAGAAGCATTTCAAGGTCCTGGAGTGGCCTAGCCAGTCTCCAGATCTCAACCCCATAGAAAATCTTTGGAGGGAGTTGAAAGTCTGTGTTGCCCAGCGACAGCCCCAAAAAATCACTGCTCTAGAGGAGATCTGCATGGAGGAATGGGCCAAAATACCAGCAACAGTGTGTGAAAACCTTGTGAAGACTTACAGAAAACGTTTGACCTGTGTCATTGCCAACAAAGGGTATATAACAAAGTATTGAGAAACTTTTGTTATTGACCAAATACTTATTTTCCACCATAATTTGCAAATAAATTCATTAAAAATCCTACAATGTGATTTTCTAGAAAAAAATTCTCATTTTGTCTGTCATAGTTGACGTGTACGTATGATGAATATTGCAGGCCTCTCTCATCTTTTTAAGTGGGAGAACTTGCACAATTGGTGGCTGACTAAATACTTTTTTCCCCACTGTACATCTGGCCCTTCATTGGACACTGTGTTAACAAACCTCCAAACGAGCTTCAATGCCATACAACACTCCTTCAGTAGACTCCAACTGCTCTTAAACACTAGTAAAACTAAATGCATGCTCTTCAATCGAACGCTGCTGGCACCCGCCCACCCGACTAGAATCACTACTCTCGACGGGTCTGACCTAGAGTATGTGGACAACTACAAATACCTAGGTGTCTGGTTATCCTGTAAACTCTCCTTCCAGACTCACATTAAGAATCTCCAATCCAAAGTTAAATCTAGAATCGGCTTCCTATTTCGCAACAAAGCCTCCTTCACTCATGCTGCCAAACATGCCCTCGTAAAACTGACTATCCTACCGATCCTTGACTTCGGCGATGTCATTTACAAAATAGCCTCCAACACTCTACTGAGCAAATTGGATGTAGTCTATCACAGTGCCATCCGTTTTGTCTCCAAAGCCCCATATACTACCCACCACTGTGACCTGTACGCTCTTGTTGGCTGGTCCTCACTACATGTTCGTCGTCAAACCCACTGGCTCCAGGCCATCTATAAATCACTGCTAGGCAAATCCCCGCCTTATCTTAGCTCATTGGTCACCATAGCAGCACCCACCCGTAGTCTGCGCTCCAGCAGGTATATCTCACTGGTCATCCCCAAAGCCAACACCTCCTTTGGCCGCCATTCCTTCCAGTTCTCTGCTGCCAATGACTGGAACGAATTGCAAAAATCTCTGAAGCTGGAGACTCTTATCTCCCTCACTAACTTTAAGCATCAGTTGTCAGAGCACCTTACCGATCACTGCACCTGTACACAGCCCATCTGAAATTAGCCCACCCAACTACCTCATCCCTATATTGTTATTTATTTTGCTCTTTTGCACCCCAGTATCTCTATTTGCACATAATCTCTTGCACATCTAGCATTCCAGTGTTAATACTAATTGCAGTTATTTTACACTATAGCCTACCTCCATAACTTGCTACATTTGCACACACTGTATATATATTTTCTGTTGTATTTTTTGACTTTATGTTTTTTTTACCCCATATGTAACTCTGTGTTGTTGTTTTTATCGCACTGCTTTGCTTTATCTTGGCCAGGTCGCAGTTGTAAATGAGAACTTGTTCTCAACTGGCTTACCTGGTTAAATAAAGGTGAAATAAAAAAAATAAAAAAAATAAAAAAATAACAGCTGACTCTTTTCCTATAATGCGTAATGAGGTTGGAGAACACATGGCAAGGGATCTGAGACCATTCCTCCATACAGAATCTCTCCAGTTCCTTCAGATTCCGAGGTCCACACTTGTGGACTCTCCTCTTCAGCTCATCCCACAGGTTTTCTATGGGTTTAGGTCAGGGGACTGGGATGGCCATGGCAAAACCTTGATTCTGTGGTCAGTGAACCATTTTTGTGTTGATTTTGAGGTGTGCTTTGGATCATGGTCCTGCTGGAAGATCCAACCACGGCCCAGTTTAAGGTTCCTAGCAGAGGCTGTCAGGTTTTGATGGAATATCTGC